CGCTGCATTTACCGGCTGTTTCATGTCTGCGGCTCGCGCACTACCAGAAGCGGCAGGTGCAGCAGCAGCAGCAGCAGCAGCAGCGACAGTGACGCTAACAACGGTGACGCCACTAGCTGCAGCAGCAGCTACGTAGGTCCGTTGCGTCTTTCGTTTAGCAAGGCCTCCGGTCGCCTGAGACTCCCGGCCTGTATACGGCTGCAGACTGAAGCGGCTGCCGCTGCAACAGCAGCAGCGGCGGGGCTGCCAGCTGCTGCAGCAGCAGCCGCAGCAGCTGCAGCAGCAGAACTAAACGCAGGCACCCTGGTGATGCCTACCCCGCCTCGTGGCTGGCGGCAGCTGCTTCAGGTGGCAGCAGCAGCACTCTCTGGCGAGGTGCTATACTGCAGCAAGCCGCAGGGGAGATCTGTCAATTTGCTGCTGCTGCCTGCTGCTGAGGAGGAGTTGCAGCAGCAACAGCAGCAGCAGCAGCACCATGGCCTGCCGCCGCGCACAGCAGCAGCGGCTGCTGCTGCTGTTGGGCAACTGTGGTCTTGCCTTAGTCAGCTGCTTGACTCAGGCTGTGGCTGGCGCTGCTTAGCTCGGGCCGTCCCTAATGTGCCTACGGCTGTTGTTGCTGCTTTGTCAGCGGCAGCGGCACCAGCTGCAGCTTCTGTCTCAGGTGCGCCCCCTCGCAGTCAGATGCGTCACCCTTCCCGGCAGCTTTGCAGGTATGTGCCTTCGCTGCTTCCGGCTGCTGCGACGAGGCTGCTCGCTCCGCAGATGCAGCCGCAGCAGCAACAGCAACAGCAGCAAATGCTGTACGTGCAGCAGCAGCAGCTCCTGATGCAGCTGTATGGAGACCGTGGTGTCCCGGATGCGCGGGAAGAAAGCCGATTCGTGCTTCAGCAACAGCAGCAGCAGAAGCAGCAGCAGCAGCAGCAGCTGGGCTACCTACCACGCATGCAACAGCAGCAGCAGGGGAGGCCGTTACGCATGCCGTCTGTAGATTCAGCATCTCAGCAGCAGCCGCAGCCGATGCAAGGAGAGCCAGAGCAGCTACAGCAGCTTCAGCAGCAGCAGCAACACCTGCAGCAGCAGCAACTGCAGCAGCAACAGCAGCTGCAGCACCAGCAGCAACTGCAGCAGCAGCCAATGCGGCCCCCAGTGTACGCCTACGCTCGTCAGGCGAGCCCAGCTAGCCGGCGGTCTTGGTCTGCTAGCCTGTGGGGCAACGCAGACACTCCAGTGCAACGTGCGGAGCAGCCACAGTTACCAGTAAGCGAGACTTCACTGCTGAATAGCTAGCTAGCTAGCTTGCTGTGTTGACTAGCTGGATAGCTAGCTGAGCTGGCTTGACTACCTAGCCGGCTGTAGGGTTGGGGAGGGCGTAGAGTAACACCAGAATAGCTAGAACTGCCCTGCCTGCTGCTGCTGCGGCTTTGGGTGCCGCCTAGTGAGCGTCCGTGGGGTGTTTCCTGTGTTTGTACTGTTGCAGCAGGCGTCCCAGTTCATGTTTTTGTTCGACTCTGAAAGCTGCGAGCCAGCAGCAGCTGCAGCGAACAACGAGGTGAGGGAGGAAGACCTCCGCGGCTTCCTCGACCTTTCCTTCTTGGCGGCGAGCACCCCAGTGGTATGCAGCAGCAACTCCCAACAGCAGCAACAGCAGCACCATGCGACAGCAGATCTCTCGCCTGTATCCCCGCACGACCCACAGCATCAGCAGAGACGACATTCGCCCACGCGCAGACCCACCCCCCAGCAGCAGCAGCAGCAGCAGCAGCAGCAGCAGGTCCTACGCCTTACAGATAGAGCGGCAGCAGCTGAGGCTCTTCGGCAGCAGCAGCAACATGGCGGTGTTTTGAACAGTCCCATAAGATTGCCACCTTTGCGGCAACAGTCCGAAGTTGAAAACGAGCTGCAGCAGCAGCAGCAGCAGCAGCAGCAGCAGCAGCAGGGTACCCACGTCAACGGCAAGTGGTGTCTTTGCATGGAGGTTCCGCCGCCGCCGTCGGCCCCAGTTCCTCCTCCTCACTTGCTGCTGCTGCATCAACAGCAGCGCCAAGCAGCTGCGCTGGCGGAGCAGCAGCAAACACAGCCGCCGCATCCCCACCACCCGCAGCAGCAGCAGCAACAAGGCATCCATCCCCATCTCGGGAGTTACGGTGTATCCCTCCCGTATTCCTCATCTAACTGCTTCAGCAGCTGTGGCGATATTATTTCTGGTGCTTCTGTTGGGCCTTCAGCGGCTGCTGCTGCAGCAGCAGCTGCTGCTGCTCAGCTGTACCCTCATATGAGCATGCCGCTGCCCGCGGCGCTCCATGCAGCGGAGGGGGAGGCTCTCAGGCCTTCAGCTAGCAGCAATCCCGCAGCGGCAGGGGCTGCTGCAGCAGCTGCTGCGGCTACAGCCTATACACAGACGCTGCAGGGAGCACCCAGCAGCAGCACTAGCAACAGCAGACTGGCGCAAATGTACGTTGAGCAGCACAAACCAGCCTCCGTTGCTTCCCGCGGCGCTTCCGGTGCCGACTCTGCACTTAGCAGCAGCAGGAGCAGCAGCAGCAGCAGCAGCAGCAGGAATTTAGCAGCAAATCCTCTTATAGGGGCAGCAGCGTATGACAGCGACCCCTTAGGGGATCCGCAGCACGCAGCTGCTGCCCGGCCTTGGAGCAGCGCACGTACAAACCAGCCGCCCTATGGCAGGCAGCAGTAGCGGCAGCAGCAGCAGCAGCTGTGCTGTTGCTGGCGCGAAGTGACTTGTTTAAGGGCTGTTTCAGCCCCGGTTTTGGGCCTGGTGGAACTACTTTTATTTATCAGCATCGTAATTAGAATATAAGTCTTCCAACAATTGTAACAGCAGTGATGTTATATTTTAGTGCGAATTGCAGTAGTGGGTGCACGTCATGCGTATTGTCGACGCGTCTACGCGTATCCAGTGATGCGTACACATACCCCAAGCATCGACGAACTTACAGGGAAGGGAAAATGAACGTGCTTGTCCTCTCCTTGCGGCTGTTCAAACACCCCCTCTAACTTCAGCATGAGACATCGGAATGCATAGGACTCTAACTTGTACTGCAAAACTAGTTTCTGCTGCGTTGCAGCTATTGCTGTTACAGCTACCTGCCAGTACGGCAGAAGGGTCTGCTGGCTTCGGATTCTGTTGTTGGCTTCGCCGCTGCACATAAGGAGCACTGCTCACCTGAAGAGGCCTAAGGTGGCTCACCGCAATCCCTACTCAGCTTTTGCTCGCCGCCACCCAAGTGGCAATTCCTTCTTACTGTGCCGAAGTGTTACTCTTTGTGATGTTACACAGCTGGATTTGTTGGGTTTATTGTATAATGTCTATAATGTAAGGTTGGCGCAAGTGTATTTCCGAATGAGGCGTCCTTACACCTCGTTTAAGTGGCCCTTGAGGATTTGAAAAGCTGCAGTCCTTGGCAAAAGTACTCGGTTCATTACCCATAGCTTCTGCATGTACTTAACGTGTTTCATTTTGTCTTATAAAGGACAGAAAACAACGACCCACTGCCACTGCTACTCAGTTCAGTGTACGTGCACCTTTTGCTGCTGCGGCCGTCGTCAAGACAAACCGAGCAGCAAAACTAAACTGAACAAGCATGCGTATTGATACACTTTTTGAATAAAAAGACACGACACAGATACACTAGTACATATACTATATATATATGCAATTTAAATTAACATATATTTTCACGTATCCAGATAAGGCGCTGCACTTGCTGCTACTCTGCCTCAGCCAAATGTGCATGCGCACCTCAAGCCATCGGCAGCCACCCCATTCAGAGCTGAGGCGATCGCAGCACCACGCCGCTAGCTAGTGAGAGCCTGCGTGCTCACACCTAGCTAGCTAGCTAGCTGTAACTGCCAGTCCATTCGCCGCATGTGGTCCCTAGCTACGTTGCTAGCTAGCTAGCTAGCTAGCCAGGCTGCAGATCTGCAGATACCCGCGGCAAAGCGGAAGCTGATCAAGCCAGCAGCAGCCATAGCATCAAGCTAGCTGAATCAATAAGCGGGGCCAGCTGGTGTGGCCTTTTTGCTAGCTAGCTAGCCACAGAGACTGTGGGCTGTGGATTTGGGTCAGCCCATGCCCCACAGGGTTCAGGCTTCTGACACCAGGCTGTGACGCGCATCCGTCTGATAGATTTGAAGGAGAGCTGATGGAATTTTATCGGGGTCAAATAAATGCTGCATTCCCTCAGGTGTCTGTACACCTGCCAACTGGAAGTGATACCCTCCCTGCGCAGCCAACAAGTACGTTGTACGTACATGCCTGTCCATCAACATGTGTGTGAATTCAAAAGGTACAAATACAAATGCACGCATGAGTGAACCAGCAAAACGATGAGCGTATGTATGTGTATATACATGTACGGAGACATCTGTGAATTCACGTTTACGTGCACAGGTGAATGTATGCACTGTAATTAGTGAATGTATGCACTGTAATCAGATTATATGCACTATATATCCATTACACGCTTATACATACTTAGTCAAGTACGCAAATGCGACACAGATACACTGTGCGTCGCATGCGCGTACTTGGCTCATACACTGCGTACGATGCATGAGAATTGCATGGTGCAGATAACTATATGCAAGCGTCACACAGACACATATACCCAAAAATATGTATGTCTACATATACATATATGTATTGGGCAGGAACCGGGAGATGAACAGAAGAGCAAATATACGCCGGTGCCACGAATAGAAAAGCCACAAAAGCACGAGCAGCGAAGTGCACACGCAAGCGGCGGCTAGAACCGGAAAATCACGCAAAAGAAAACAGAGGAAGACAAATAAATGAAGAAGACCTGGAGCGGGAAAGAGAAGGAGTGGACTCCCAGAGGCTCAAACGCTCACAGCGACAGACGCAGCTACAGGGCAAGAAAAAGATGAAGCAACATGCAGATACTAAGCAGAGGTGACGCTGACAGAGAGCCACGGGGCCCCACAAGCCGCACACACTGTCAGCGCTGGGGAATGGGGAGGAGCTAAGGAGTGGCAGTGAGGCTTACAACGTAATAAATGAACATATATTTGCTTCGCTTCTTCTCTTCGCACCCTGTGGGGTAAATACCCCCTGTCGAGTCGTCCATCACTACAATGCCCACGTCAAGAGCATCTTCCAGTGCGCAGATGTCTGCAGCTGAAGGCCACATGAAGTCAAAACGCAAAATGCTCAACATCAATTCGCTGTTTTCAAGTGCACTCAAGGCACTTGAATGCAAACGAAAAACGGTGCGAAAATCAGTGAAAAACGAGCAGAGGGGCAAAAATAAGAGCAAGAATTTACCCACAGGCAGGTGCACTGCAGCGAAACGGACAGAAAAGGCAAAAGCAGGTAAAAACAAAGTCTAGACCCACATGTTCCCCAGTGGTTGTTCCCGGGCAGCCGCAGCTCATAGTGGAGCGCCTTGGCCTTCCCAAGGGGCGTTGACACGTCGAAGCAGTCCCCTGAAAGCGAAGAACAAAAGCGCGGGGAAACAAAGATCAAACAGTCTAGCCGCAGACGAACCTAATATTGGCTCTGCATTATAACCGAGAGAAGATGCAGAAACGCGTGAGAAAAACACGAGGTACGGAAAGCAACAGCCAACCTAAATCAACAACAATCTGGCAAACAGCCAGCTACCCACTCATCCCTAAGCTCCCGAAATCTCACCCAGCAAATCCCCACCTCCCCTTGCCATCCCAGCCAACATAAACCACCCTTTTCACCCATTTCACTCCACCCAGCAGCCCCCTAGATGTCGCACCAACCCCATCCAATAACCACCTACGACCCCACCAACCCCGTCCAGCAATCATTTGCAACCCCCACCCAATAACCACCTCCCCGACCCAGCCCCCAGCGGCCACACTTTGACGCAGCACAAATTAGGCAGCGAGAAAGTCTCACCTTGAGCAGTCACGTAGATATCTTTGTTGTGTAAAATTGACATGGGCGACCAGCTCTCTTCCCAGTCCCCGCCCTCTTCTATGGAGGCCAACACCGCCAGGCGCTCCATAAACTTTTCCTCCTCGCCATCAGCAAACGCTGCACACCAGATTAAAAGAAATATTCATTCTGACTAACACATTCCTTATGTGCAGCATCTACATGCACAATGTGTCCTAAGACATGCAGATCCCGGTAGAATGAGTCAAGGTATCTGGCTTGAGGAGCAGACGAAAAAAAAACCATGAAAACGTTGAAACGGCTGAGTCGGGCACAAAGTAGAAGAAAAGACAAAGAGACAGCAAACCGGAAGAATGCCACACAGCAAGCCTTCTTTAGAAGTACCTGCATTAGGGTCACATCCATCGATCCCTGCTGCTTTGTTTGCTGCTGCTCGTCTCAGCTCCTGAACGCCGTAGCTTCTGCCTCCGCTGCCGCTCAGCCCCAAAGCCACAGACAAAAACAAACAGTCCCCACCACCACCAGCATCCTGCAGCAGCAGCAGCAGAGAACGAAGCAGCAGCAGCAGATGAGGCACCGAGAGCGGCAACACAAGCGGCAGCAATGGCAGCAGCAACGCATCGAAAAAAACCCCGTATCGTTGAAGCCCAGCAGACGCAAACAAACAAAATAAACAAGAGGAGCATGGCATCCAGAATAAGCAGGAACGGCAAGCAAACGGCAAACCAAAAAGCAGAGCGAAACAAAAAAAGTTAAGCAATAAATCCCCTCAAACCTAGTTGTCTGTACAGCTCACGGCTCTCTTCATAGCAAGATTATATTTCTTGAGTCTTGCGCTCCACTTCGGGCCTAGAGGGATCCACTGTTTCCGCTGGCTGTAATTCATAATAGACTTAAGAGAGCAAGCGGCGAACACTCCACCCCTGTACATACACCCCAAGCCCGACCGTGCTGCATCCAAGCCATAAGAAGCGGCGTCATATATTAAACTCGGAAACGAGATGCTGCTGGGCAGCTGCTGCAGCGGGGGCTGCTGTTTCTGTTGTAGGCGAAGCAGCCGCTGCTGCTGCCCCTGCTGCTGCTGTGCCTGGGAGCGGCTGGCAGCACATTTGCTGATCCACTTAGCCTGTGCAGCCGCAACGCAGCCTTTGTCCGTAGTGGGGCAGCGAGCTGCTTCGACAGCTGCGCCCAAGGCCTGCAGCAAGCATTCCCTTCGCCTTGACATAAGGTCAGCTGCTGCTGCATGCGAATCTGCTGCTGCAGCTGCTGAAGTTGAGGACGATCCGTCCGCGTTCAGACTTAAAGTACCTGTTGCCATCGCAGCAAGGGCAGCAGCAGCAGCAGCTGCTGCTGCTGCATTTGTTGCTGCTCGTGGCATGCTGCTGCTGTCTTTGCCGTGACTAAAAATCGCCTCATCGACAGCAGAGCGGCCACTCAAGGGATCAGGGAAAACAGATGCAGCAGGGGTTGCTGCTGCTGCAGCAGCAGCTGCTGCTGCAGTTGCGGCTGCTGAGCGGGACACAGAGACAGCAGCGGCACAACGGAAAGCTCCTGGAGCAACGAGGCACGCCATAAGCCAGCAGCCTGCAGCTACGAAGCAGCGACGTGAGTTCTGCATTTTGTGTTGCTGTAGCTGCTGCTGCTGCTGCTGCCGTGGCTGCTGCTGCCGTGGCTGCTGCTGGCGTTGGTCTTGCCGCTGCTGAGAGTCTTTCCTGATCCACTGCACCCTCGTCAGTTCCTGGTGCTTCTCCGTTTTACAGGATAAAGCAGGTGTTTGGGTATCTGAGGGCCCATGCTGCTGCCGCTGTCATTCTCGCTGCTGCTGCTGATGCTCGCCGCTGGGGACTGCGGCCAGCTGTGGGCCTTATCTACAAAGTGGGAAATCTCCAATGTTTCAAGGGACCATAATTCGGCGCAGTAGAAACAAGCAAACGTGCTGCTCTGCTGCTGCTGCTCTGCTACTGCTGCTGCTGCACGAGAGTCGGTAGAGATGCGCAGGAGCCTGGGTGGCGCCTACGGGTATAAAAAGCAAAACCTGGTGACTAAACAGAAAATTATTCAAAGAGATAAAACTACGGGTAACAATTATGGCGGCAAGACCCGCGGCTGCAGCAAGTCTTGTACCGTGGATCGAGCAGCATCTCGCATGCAGCAGCACTAGTTGCCGCAGCTGCCTCCATTTCGTCACAGTTACATCCTCCTTGTGAACATGAAATAAACATGAAATCTAAAAGGTTTTGTTTACTTTAACTTTTTCATTCCTAAAAATCTCAATAGCCCGCACCTAATGCACGTTCCACCGAAGCCTCATCGGACGGCAACAGCTGCAAGGGAAAAGGGAAAAACTAAACACCACCAATGGCTTTAGGAGAAGCAACAGCAGTAATATAAGCAGAAGCTAGTATTGGCATCTGGTCTTTAACACGAACGGCAGGTTCGTCTGAATAGCCCGACCGCGGGCCAGCCGGCTAGACCAACACCAGCTTCCACTGCGGCTGCTGCAACAATAGCATGTTGAAATCTGCAACTGAAGTGTACATTCACCTCGATGCAGATGTCTCATGTAGTGCCGTGGGCAACTGGTCGCCACAAGCTCTTCTGCAGCCACACGTGCCCGTTGAAGAAGGCGCTGACACCATATCCATGCCGCTCATATTCCGGTCCTTACCTGGCTGCTGTGCTTTCTGGCACAGCAGTAGAAGCTCCAGCATTAAGAGGCCAGGAAGTATCAGCTTTACATTGCTATAGCCCCAGCAGCAGCGGCAGCAGCAACAGCAGCAGCGGCAACACGGGAATGAGCAACAGGGGAAGTGATAGCCCCGTAAGGTACAACGTAAACAGAAGCGTACTTATTAGGGTGAACAGCAGCAGAAGCAGCAGCAGCAGTAGCATCAGCAGCTTTCGCATAAAAGAGGGATCTTTTGGTTCTTATGCTCCTCGTTCTTTCTCCCGCACGGGCAGCCAAAACTGCAACCACTTCGCCACCAGCACATCATATGTTACCCAAAGCAGCAACGGCAGCAGCAGCTACTGCAGCGACAGTGGGAAAAGAAGCAGCAGCGACAGCAGCAGTAGCAGCCGCTCCAGCAACAGCAACAAGGACAGCAGCTGGAGAAGCAGTCAAAGAAGCGGTCGCGACACCAGCGACGACAACAACTGTAGTAATGGCAGCAGCAGCAGCTCCGACAGCAGCACGAGCAGCAGTATTAGCAGCAATTTGAGTCGAGTGATGGGCGAAGAAATATTTTTAGGGGCGAAGATTCGGCAGCAAAATCTGTGCAAGCGAGTCCCATTTAGGGTTCATCGTACAGGTGAGCAAAAGCAACTGCAGCTGCAGCATCACGAGGAGCGCCAGAGGCAGCCGCTGCTGCAGAAGCACGAGCTGCTGCTATCGCTGCAAGAGGAGTGCTTTCACAAATTGTAGGGTCCGCTGCTACAGCAACAGCAGTAGGCCAGCAGCTCTATATGGCTGTGTATTTGCTTATTTGCAGCCTCAGGAAACCTGCCTTTGTCTTTAGTTTGGTCCTGTAAAAGGAACACCGTCAAAACTGCAGTGAGAAAGATAAGCGGCGACAGAGAAGTACGCGGAGTGTACAGACAAGGCGAGGCTGAAAAAGCCAATAAGCAAGCAAACGAATAAATATGTGAATAAATAAATAGTAGTAACAGATTCACAAGTACGGCCACAAATCGACAAGTTTCCTCTCATCACTGTCCTCAGTGAAGGAGCCATGCATTGGGTTTGTTTGTTCTCTTTTCTTGCTGTAGATTTTCAAGAGGGAGGTCAGCTTTCTATGTGGTTGTCCTGTTTGGGAGGGAGAAAATTGCATTTATGTTTCGGGCAACAAAAAGGCTATTGTCAAACGAGTGCGCCAACGCCCAAAGCTCTTGTAGCAGCCCAGCAGCACAGGCAGCAATAGTAGCAGCTGCTGCAGGAGCAGCAGCAGGAACAGTAACATGAGCCTCAGCAGTAGTGTCTTTAGCAGCCAGAGCAGAAATCGTTGCTACTATGGAGTTTTAATTACGATTTCCCACATCAGGAGGGTCACCGGTCTGCCTCACGCTACTACTGCCGCTGCGCTTGCTGCTGATGCTTCTCGTAATGCTGCTGCTGCTGGGTGTTTGTTCGTCTGCAGTGGCTGGAAGAGCTTGGATTCTAAGACAGCTGAGGAGTTGTGCAGTGCAGCTTTGAAGCCGTCTCTAGCATGTTCGGCATATTAAGCTGCAGCTAGCCACAAGTGGCGGTCGCCAGCTGGGCAGGCAGTTGACTGGCCGTTCCCACCTACCGCTAGGCGTTGCCTCTCAGTAGAGAGGATGACGGCTGCGTTTTTTTTTTCAGCGGTTTAAGCCGTACCAACGGTTCTCCTTGTACATATATCCTTTTCTTTTTCTTCTGCATTCGTGCATTTTTCTTCCAAGGCTTTGTTAGTTTGATTACCTATAAAGTGGCAAATATTCGGTCTAGTTCATTAGCCTAACAATGCGGCGGCGAGGAACCATAAGCTACTTTCGTCCGGTTTCCTTTTCTGTCATGCCAGCTAGGCGCTGCGGCTTGTTACGTCGAGCATAGGCAGTAGTGCACATATGCATACATATATATATATATATGCTAATTTCGTATATGGGTGTTTCGGACTTTACGTGTACCTGCATGGCTGTCTGCATGGTAATATGCGCACCTGCATATGTGTATACATAGCGGTGTACGTGTGTGCGCATGTATAATACATGTAAGTCCGCACGAACAGCAGCAAGAATATTTGAAAATTCAATATTTTAGCAGTTGAAGTGCATTGTCAGGAGCATGGCAGGCAAGCATCCATAGGAACATACGTAACATTCCACAGAGATGTATATAGGCTTGCAGTTCAGCGCACTGTTCCTAGAACCGCCTTACCTAGTTGCATTGCCTACTTGTCGTGGCTAGCTCTTGCACGCCTGAGAGCGAATACATTAAGCCCGTGAAGATGGTTCCTTGCTGCTGCAGCAGAGTCACGTACTTCTCCACTGCCACTGACCTCTGGCGGGGAGCGGTTCATCCACTTGAACCGAAAACCCATTTCATGTCAGCCTTTGGGCTGTTGAAGACAGCTGCAGCAGAAGTGTAAATGAGCTGAATTGTCAAATCACAATCGGTCGGCGTTGGTTTGTGTAGCAAGCTCTTTCAGCTTTGAGCTCGCTCGGACACAGTGGCCGCCTATAGTGAAATCTTTTTGCCTACAGAAGATGCTACTGCTGGCAATGGCGGTGAATAGTGGCATTAGGATCTAGCGCTGAGGCTTAAAATAGGGAAATAGAGGGAAGATCAGGGAGGAGGGTAATGCTGTCGCTCGCTCATTCTCTGCCTCGAGTAGCTCAGTGATGCTCGAACAGCTACATTGCTGATGGAAGATTCCACGCTTTTGGCGTATTTATTTAGGCGTGTCTAATAGGTTTAGTGAGGAAGTCGTGTGGAAGTCCCCTTTATATTGTTTTTCCCCTAGCGAGGGCCCTGAAAAATAACGGTCTAAACGTCATGGACCGAAATCAGCTCTCGGCATGCTGCAAGGGAGATGTAAAAAGCAAATAGAGAAAGGGGCATTTGAAACCACAATATCTGGTCTGTAAGAGTGCCTTGAGCGTGCTTCAGTGACTTTACTCTCGCCTTCGTCATCGTGACTGAATGGAAGGGAACAACTATAGGGAGGCTGCTGCTTCTGTGGTTCATTTCCGCTCCGCATTTAAAAGAACAAAAATACCAGCAATTGTGTATTTTTACATTGCTTTTTTGCTTCAGGATTTCTATTTCGTACAAACGTGTTATGAAACTCTATATTCATCCTCCCACACGGCTTGAGTAGGCGGAATACACATGCGCGAGCCAAATACCGTGGAAGAGATGAGAGTTTTCAATTAGAAAATAAGGACACATATCTTAAAAACTAAATTGAGAAAGTAGAACGAGCCTGTGTTCTTGAGGAGAGGAGGAAGCTGCTGCCACAGCCCCAACAGCTGAAATGATACTACTCAGCGTCCTTTACTTGTCATTGGATTTTTGTGCATATTCCACCCTTTGGAATTTTATAGCATTACAAGAACAGCACTTAGAAGCTTCTTTGTTGCGGCGAATATGTCTCGCGCTGTGTATGCCAAGATCTGGTCCTCCACGGCTCAATTCCAACAGCGGCGGCACTACGCCTGGTACCAAGTTGGGTACGTTTCTGGTCTTTTCTCAGAGCATTACACGCTTTAGAGTGTTGCGAACTTGGCATATGACGTTGGAGTCGATTTGTAGCTCCAGCATGCGGCCTGGATAGCTGCGGACGAAGCCCACAACTGCTTACGCTGCAGAAGCTGTACACGCTCGTGATTTGCCTGCCTTTGCCCATAACTCACTAATTCTCGGCCGTAGTAAATGAGCCGTATGGCCAGTGAGAGCTACGTATGCTGTATTACGGTTATAATCTATAAAAGCACGGGCGGAGTTAAAAGAATTAACTGAAACTTGTCAGGGGTGGTGGAACGACGGGCTAGGAGAACATAAGGTCACAGATTAGCCTTTCGAAATTCCTGTGATATTTTAGGATGTATTCATTTGTAGAAAGAGCGCTAGTAGAGCGCTTTAAAAGCCGTTTATCTCATGGTGTTTCGGGCCTTTTGTTTGTTCTTGTTCACGCTTCTACAGGTCGCGTCTTGGACTGTGGGCAATGCCAGCGGCTGCGTGGTTCTCATGGCTGCTCTTTCCAGCTCTGCCTGAAGAGTACAGAAGTGCCGTTACCTTTGGCATATGGAGGAAACCAGATGTGGGCACCCAGACGAAGGATTTCTAGGGAGACAATGGATCAACAGCTAGCTTTCTAACTTGGTCTGTTTTTCTCCTTACACCTTTCTTCCTTCATCCCAACAGCAATCGAAGTACTGCCATGTCCATCTTTTGCCGCCGTCTTCGTCTCAACCATAGCAGCCCAGGCGCAGCCCAGGCGGCGGCAGCAGTAGCTATTGCTGCTGTTGCCGTAGCAGCCGTGGAAGGAGACGCAACAGCAGAGGCGCGTCGTCTTCCCAGAAGTGGCAGCAGCAACTTTGTGAATCTTTGAAAGGATGCATTTGTAGAGAAAAGTAGGGAAGGGCTCCGTGCCAGCAAACAAGGGAGGAAGGATCGACATCTAATGAAACCGTTGGCCACACGTCTTCTCCTCTCTGTGCAGTGCAGTCTCTCCGTCTTCTTTCTTAGAGAGGAGAAGACGTGATTCTCCGCTTCTCTTTTTCTAATTCTTTTCGTCTGAACCCTCTCTGACGCCTTATGCGGAATGAGTGAGAGACGAAGAGAGCAGCCTTGGGGCTACTGCTGTTTACTGTCCCCTCTGTGCGAACGCGTAAGAATTTTAAGTGCGCAACAATTTTGTTGGCATTATATATACAATGCATATTCTGGTACACAGCCTTGGATATGGGTGTGAGCATAGTCGATATAAACGCACGCGGAAGTAACTCACATTTGTGCGGATACTCCAGATGTGCATCTAAGTAGGTGACGGTGCTCTTACCAACGTTGCTCTTTCTTGCACATGGTATAGTTACGTTGCAGCCAAATGGTATAGTTACGTTGCAGCCAAAGTCTAGAGAACAAATCAGACGGTGCTGGCGAGTTAGTCTGCGCTGAAAGTTGCCAGCCTTGTCTCTCATTGGGACGTGTCTTCCCAAGTAGAAATATTTGTAGAAGAGTGCAGTCACGTGCTGCTGAGTGTATGTGTGCGTATGTAGATAGATGCAACACACATGCATCAGCATGGGCCGTGATGCTAGTATGAAACTCCTGTTGGCTGTAGTTATTTGCAGTGGGAAACACAAAACCACAAGAAGTTCTGGCTCCATGCAAATAGGTAAAGCCAGCTGTTAGCCTCATACATGCGTGCACTCAGACGCAAGCAGCCTGCAAAGGCTTGCATTTCCAAAGCTTCGGAAGCGCAGATATGCCACTGAGGACAGCACAGAGCCCTGCGACCAGTGAGAGACCCGGGCATAGTACAGGCATTACCACCACTCCTGTGGTGTGCGGGACGGGAACCATATGGAAAAAGAGGTGCTGCACTATAGACGATGAGCAGGCCTCAATAGGCCTCAATGCCCCTCCCCCACCTTAAACATAGAATTGTACACACGCTCTTGTGCACAACGTCCTTCAACGTCAGGAGCACAAACTGATTGGTTTTCGTATTGGGATACGCATGCAAAAAAATCGCGACTTGAGTCTCGCGTAGTTTGCTATAGCGGTAGCTGCAATAGCTCACGTGAGCATAAAAGCTACAAACAAGTTGCGTCTACTCTAGGGCGGGACCGCACGATGTACAGTGCAGTACATAAATGCGGTCTTGTCAGCAAAACCGGGAATCAGCCCACAACACACTTGTGTGCCTTGGGCTTCGCTAGGTTAACGCCTTGCGACCATCGTAGCTGGCTCCATTCACACACACTGTGCGCCCGTCACAGTAAGTCTCTTATCTTTGGAAAACTCAATTCCATGACTAATATGGCAGCAGTGTGGAGCGTCTTCGCCCGCTGAAACCCACTGGCAGCGCGCTTACCAGCGCGGCTGGGGGGACACGGCGCACTCACCTGATCCCCCACTTTCGAAAATTTCCTCAGACGGCGAACGGCAGCCAGAGAGCATTCCCCCAACACTGCCAAGGGCAGCAAATGAGTCATGCGAGCTAACAGGACTGTAGCGTTCCTCTGGGCCGCCGTCCACAACCTGGACCGTTCCTCTACGGGTGAGACCGCTGCCGATGTTGGCTCGCCATACGCTACCAGCTTCCATGTCTGAATTGTTGGCTGAAGTCTCAGCAGCACCACCATCTGAGTCCGCAGTGGTCGAAGCGCCGTCGTCGGTTTTCTGCGGAAGACGTCGGGGAACATGCTTGGAAGGCAAGAGCAGGGAGGGTCCCTCTACCTTTGCAGGGATCATCCAAATAAGACACAGCGGCAATAGGTTTGATAACGCGCAGATAACTGTAAGAGCCGACAGACCCTTAAAGTTCGTGGAGGATATTCCCAAGGCCTGAACCAAACATATAGGCACCGACAAAATAACACGCATTACCTGACACAGCAAAAATGAACGCGAAAAGACGAAACAGTTATAAGTAGGCGCAAGTGCGTTCGCAGCCACCGAGAAAGTGAAAGGAAAACGGACAAAATATATCTTGACAACAGTACTGATGGAATCTAATAATAGTATGATTCTACGTTTATTCCGAGACTGCATGTGATACAATGCGTAAACACAAAAAAAGAAAACAATAGGACAGGATACTTCACTTTTACGGGTTCGCGTACCGCTGTCAGTCCAGCTGAGACAAGAGATCCCAATCCAAGGCCCAAATTGTACGCAGACAAAAGGACAGAGTATATCGTAGACTCAAGTCCAGGGGGGCAAAGCCGCGCCGCCAAAACCAGAATCGGCATCGCTTGAAACTCTCCTGCGGAAAACACAACACATACGCTCACAGACTATGAACTGAGAAACTCACCTACTGGTTCCTCAACTGCGTGAATAAAAGCCTTTGACCAACGGAGGGCGACAAAGGCTACTGCTGGCACGCAACCGCAGAAAGTGTCTCCCTAAACCATGGTCATTACTTCACTAAAAGATATATTGCCTTCTCTAGCCTATACTATTGAGTCAAATACGACAAGGGCACATGCAAAGGCAAGCAAACACGCGAATATTAATGAAAACGCTCTGGGCGGTAGTAGGCCTTTAAATTGAACACATAAGACACGCACACTGTTGACAGAATAAAGCAGTAAAGCGTGCCATGCTGTTCACATTCGAAGCACTAACCATCTACACCATCTACTGCACTACTACCTTACCAGCAAACTCCATCAATACTGTGTCCGTGACGACGAAAACAGAATCCGGGATGCCCATGGAGACATTCCATCTCTCAATTCTGAGCAGTCAAATACACCAAAGTTGTTCAAGTAATTAATGTTACCAGTTGGCAGCCTGACACGAAAGTCGACTTATAGAACAGGACACGAATTCACTAGAAAGTTGCAAGATGTAACTAAGATGGGCCCAATGCAGTCTACCCCCTAGTGAAGTTAGCGGGTGCAAGCATGATTCAGCTGAAAGTGGAGGGATGTATCTGTGTTGTGGTGTCCATGTGGAACTACGTATTTATATAAATATGCATACGCATATACTGATATTCATGTTTTTCATGCATTCCATGCAATAGATAGTGCACATATTTGTGTCCCAGTGAGCGCATTTGTGTGGATGCTGACTTACACAACTACGGGGAGAAGGCAAAAAGGCGTGATCGCAACTGTAGAAACCAGCAAAAGCTTCCGAATAGAAGTTGTGCTACAGAAATACATATACACGAGAATGCCGATGAGCGAAGCAATACTCTGGAACAATGCCATTCGTCCGAGTAGTTCGGGGCCGAAGTGCAGCTCATTTGTCATGAAGTAAAACATGATGGAGCCAGCTGACGGTGTTGCCTGCGAAGCAGCAATAGTCAAAACGCATTCTCAATAGCAGTTGCACGAAAGCATTCTGGCTCAACGGCAACAGCTCGAAAGAACAGTCAGTGGACGTCTAGCCAGCGTGAGTACACTCGAGTGTGTCCCACGCTGTGCACGATCAAACCCGTGGGCACTACGTCTTGCATATCCCTGCCAAGTCACTCTGCTGTTGCTGATTTCTCACCATCATTATAAAGATAAAGAGTGTCGAGTTCAGAAGCGTAGGCTGCTTGAGCACTCTCGCCAGTTCCTTGAATTGCTCTTTGACAGGCAGCACCTTCGCCTGCGGCTCTTCTAGCCAGAAGTTTGCCATCACAACGGCAGCCGGAAGCGCCGCAGCAATTACAAATACGTACTGTTTGGCCATTATGGCCAGTAGTACACCAGACAAGTATGACACTGTGGCAAAGCTGATTTTGCGGAAAGCGAAGAACATAGACACGGTGCGAGCAGTGGCCTCTTCACTGGCGTCTCGGCGGCCCGCCTCAACGACAAGGGCCTCCCCAATGACATTGCAAACAGCAGAGCCCCAGAAGTAAAGCAGCAGCAGGGAAGTGGTTGCTGCTAAGGATCTGTATCCCCCCAGTCCAATCCCAAGGGTCGCTACAATGCACATAGATGCTCCAATGAAGATGTAAGATTTCCGTCTGTAGCCAAACAGCGGAAAGTTGTCAGCCATGACTGCCCAGAGAGGCTTTACTGTCCACGGCAGCCGCAGGGCCCCCAACACCACTGCCAGCAGTGCTGGGTCTATTTTGAAATCGTCTTTGAAGAGGTACAAAATAGCCAAATTGCACAGTACCTCCACCCCCTGCAGCATTGCAATCAGTGAACTAACAACGCGTGTTGCAAACGGGACAGGCTTCAGCGCAGGGCTTGCTGCCTTCTCTATGAGAGACTCGTCCTCTCCCGCCACCGTGTCCCACTCCCCTGACCCTGAATAAGCCGCAGCAAGCCTTCAGAGCAATCTCTGCAATCTCTATCCACTATTATGGAGCCTGATAACTCCCAGAGCGGTCCCAAGTCGTGATAGCCCGTGGTAGCCCGTGTACTTGCAGCTGAACTTAGCTACAACTCCAGACTGTATGCTTCCGTGTGACGATAAACTGGTGCAGACTTAAAGCTTTAAAACTACTCACCCAGTCTATGTGGCTTCTTGTGTGCTCCTATGTTGATATCCTCCGTGTCAACGAAGGGCATATTAAGCCCTGGCGCCTTCTCCATCTTCACGCGTCTTCAGCAGCTTCTACGGACCCTCAGTGCAAAGCGGTGGCTGCTGCAAAAGAACGGCAGCCAAATTCAGTAAACACAGTGCACATATTGTTTGAAAGTGTGGGCAAAACGCGGAGGCAGCTAAAATGAGTCTGCGCCGTGGTGGCTTTCATTGCAGCTGATACATGATCAAAAAACCCTGCTTAAGTGCCTAATAAAGCCCCAACAAACTCCTGGAAACATGCAATGCTTTATCTACTGCCTCAGCCCATTCAACTCTGTAAAGCACTGTCACCATACCGTCAGCGCTCGTTGATGCGGCTTACCCTGCGGCCTGCGAAGGAGTTTAGACGGGATCCTTTACGGGCTCCTCGGCCATGAGGTGGGTAGTTCTTCTTGGCATGAATGGCATTTCTCTTATTAACACAGGCCTGTCTACAAGGCAGCAGCCAACCCGATTGGATTGGCTCGCCTTCCTGTTGCTGCTTGCTGCCGCTGCGCCACCCAGATGATCGGCGGGAGAGGGTGACAGCAAAGAACAAGGAAACGCTGCCGTAGACCCTCGTCAATGAATTCATGTATCACCTATTGTTCAAACAGTTCAAGCTCAGTATTCAGAGAAAGCTCTCGTGGGGCTGCTTTCAGTGGAAGCGGGCCTCGATTATACCGGCGGCCCCAGAGTCAAGGCAGCAGCTTCTGAGTCCGAGTAGACAGCTGTGCAGTGCCCGTCGTATTTGGCGTAATAGTTAGCTTGGAATCTATAAAACCATCAAATTTACTCTAATATTTTAAATAGATAGTAAATAATAAAACTTCATGTTTACTGTGCTTGTGCGACGGCGCTCTCGTGAATGGTCGCAGCTGCACCGTGTGTACAGTTGAAGGTCCGTGGCTGGTCCTGTACGTCTCAGACCCGCTGGAAATGATATCCTGTATCCTGCGTATTACAATTCCTTTTTCACCTAGTGGCACCTTACATGAGAACATGTGAGTCTATTTACAGAACTTCAGCGCTGAGTTCCCTCCCGTCAACCCTCAGAGATTTGAAGCTGGCCTCCAGAACGCACGTGAAGTGTCGTGGGAGTGTTTGTTTTCCCCTCTGAATTTCGAATTATCTTCAAAAACATTACGTTTGCAGTTCATGTGCCTTCCGGCCGGGTTCACCATTCGCCAGTACCTTTGTTGCTTTGTCTGGAAGACAGCCGGGGCTGACCCCCCAGCGTTGTGCAATACATTTTATCCTGATCACCCTTGCTTCCACTGACTTCTTCTCGTCAAACATACGCGTTCAAACGTACAAGTTTTTTTGGGCTGAATGAAGCCCTTCAGGCTATGGGAAGCCAAGGAGCCAACGGGGCCCTCACGTCGGCGGGCTCCCTCTTGGTTTGTGGGCACCGAGAATTTGCTGCAGGCAGCAATGCAAGGCCTTGCAAAGTCTATTGATCCTCCGTGCCCGTCGCTCTTTAGATCTGTAGTCTGCCGCCTGAGGTCCAGCCTCGCATCACCAATTATGCCGGGTCCACCAGCAGGGCTCCAGGGCCCCCCTACTCCCTCAGAGAAGCCAAGAGCTGCAGAAGTACAGCCGGACAGCACTTCTGCGGATTCCTACGGTGGACAAGCAGCAGCAGATTCCTCTGCTACAGCAGGAACTCCCTTCAAACTTCACTTCTGTGAGGAAACAAATGAGCCCGAAGACGTCTGCAACGCCCAGTGGTTAGTGGTGAGTGGACAGGCGCGTCTTTTCGTCTTCTTCCAAGCTTTCACAAAGGCATTTCGATGCCTCTTTCAACAGCGCAGTACTTTACGTTTTGGGAAATGGCTTGGTATTGCGACTGGATAGAAACGTTGCATGGTGCTGTTGCATAGGGGCATCTAGGGGCTGCATTTATCCCCTCGTCGTATGACTGTGCCCTTATTTCAGCTATGGAGCTACGCAGCCTACGCGCCTGAGAGGCCCTCTCCAGAGGAGCAGCAGCTGCTGCGAACGTTCTTTGAATTATTTCCTGACCAGTGCATTGAGGGCCCCGCGGCCAACTGCTATGCAGAGGCCGTCAGAAGCTCAGCCCCTCGGTGGGTATGCGCATACTCGTGCACAGTGGGGATCGCTTGTGCCTTTTGTACTTTTACCTACTGTTGTTGTGAGGCGTGCGTTCTAGAGGGATGCACCCCGGAACTTGGGCTTCAAGCCGAACAGGGACTTCTCTGTTTTCGCCTGCCCCTCTTCTGCATTTTTCGGGTGATGTTTGATGTGCTTCTATCTTCACAGAGTACGGACACGGCGAGAACTGCTGCTTTGGTTGTGTATGGTGGAGAACCAGTGCCGACAGAAGGCGGGCATGCCGCTGAAGCAGTGCAGGTACGGAGAGTGTATTAGTCTCGTCTTGCTTTCTTATTTAGTCTGCCTATGGCGCGTAGATTCTGTTGTAATTTCGCATTCTTGCACGAAGTTGGTCGGTGACCCAGTCGCGAACTCCTTTAGGGGTCGCATTTGCAGATTTGCGCGCGCAGGCAGCAGCGCTGCGGCGAACGGTGATTTGCGGCTAATGTGGATGCAGCCGAACCGCAATCGTGGCATTTTTGCGAGTTCTTGTGTGGCTCTGCTGACGCAGGTACAACGACTTGATGAGGCGCTGGCGGTACGCGGATGGGTATGTGTAGGAGAGATGGGGCCCGGAGTGAACCCCTTGAAGTACACAGGCGAGCCGTAAACGCTCCCGTGTCTATACAGAGGCGATTATCGAGAACTGTCAAGCTTGTTCGCGCAGTACATGCGCCTCTTTGGTCAGCACTTTCGAGTGTTTGCTCATGCGCACAAAGCTTGGCTTGGTGCTTTTACCGTGCAATGCACCTCGCCTCATTAGAATCCCAGTTACTCGTCTGTCTAGTGTCAGCCTTCCTGGCAGTAGACGAAACTACTTAATGAGTTGTTTGCACGCTGCAGCCGTTTGAACAGTATGGATTCGGCACTAACGAACGATTGAGGATACTAATCGCGATCAAAACTTAGAAACGAAACCAAAGGTCACTAGGACTGTCCCTACGGCCCAGCGTCTTGCTGCTAAGAAAACGTGACACCGTGAACTGAATGACAAACTACAGTTCCAAGTTGAGCGGAACTTAAAGGCGGATGGCGAATTCGTCTCGCTACCTCACGAAGGGCCGCCGTGAGGAAAAAACGGCAGCAGTTAGCTGCAGGAGTGAAGTCCCTCACGCGGCACCATCGCTGAAGGCCGGTGTTGCTGCCTTTTTCTTTTGCGGAAAGAAACACACTTTACTTCTCTCTTGAGACAGGGGTGTATGAAATATTGACAGGAACTTGACAGGATGGAATATATGCGCGGTACGCAACATTTCAAAGGCGCTAGCCCAAGGGGAGGCAAGCGGATGCAGTGCAATAAACGCGCCACCTGAAGGTGCCACTACGGGAAGCAACTACGGGCAGCAGCGCGCCAGTGAAGGTAACGCTTGCGAGAACGCTGTGCCCCAGATGATGCAGAACAGAGTGCCCCCTGTGCGAGCTGCGCCCGCTAGATGGAGGCCACCGGAGAAACAGCAACCCTGAAGGACCGTGGTGGGGGCTATGTCTTTGCAGCGGCTCTTCCACCCATGGAAAAAGAGGACGATATGCCATCTCAAGGACAAACCTACGCCCGAGCCTGTGCAGAGGCAAGGGCGAGTGCATGGCGTGCACGTGTATAACAACGGAATTGAAATAGAGCGGAATGGAACGGAGCTATTGATCGTCTCCCCGCGGAAACCGCCAACCCACGGACGCATTCTATGGACCTGCTTCTGATGCGCCGTGAGTTCAAGAAGTTCGGTAAACGCAAACATCGAGCTTCGCTGGTGCGGAGGCGAGGGTTGCGTGCTGCGGGATGCGATTTCGAAGTCTATGGGTAGCGCTGTGAACAGTACTTGCGCTGCCACAAACCTCACCTTCAGTACGGTAAATCCATGGTGAGCGGCTTAATAGGACCTGAAATAGAGATGCCGGTAGTCATCTCTTCAGCGAAACAACGGCCCCAGGCATTAAAGCCTGAAGTGGCGTAGCCGGTCGCTTTGCTTGCGAAGGTGCACTGTATGCTTGGCCACCACATGGAAGTGGTGTCTATACAGATGCGGGGTTTCCAGTGCTGGCCATTCTGGTTTGCGGAATCCCTATGGAAAAAAATTGTCGGCTGGTTATCACGGATGTATGGGTTTACAAGACCCTCCAGTTCTTCCTCTTTCGATGGCCCCTCCACCACGAGGGGCCCAGGGAAAGTGGGGCTGGGGCTGTTGCTCTTGAATGAACTGTCAAAATGGTCCTCAATGTGCAATGGAATCTTCGCATAGATATGCACAGCAGGTTGGGAACTCTTACGGACCTGTACATAGGGCTGGAAGTCTCGGGACTGTACGACGAAGACGCAAGGGTACTCTGCGTAGTTGATCTTCAGTGATACAGCAACGACCGGGGCGGACAGCGGATGAGCTGGTGACTGAATCATGGACACTGTAGTATTGGTATGTTCTTGCAGTAGCCCATCTTGAGAATAAGGTGACTGGGAATTTATCGGGACAGGTGCACTGGGGGTGGTTGGTAAGCCTCCAGATGAAGGCTCCTGAAGAGGAAGCGGTGATGCTGAACCGCCGCCTATGCTCTCCCTCTTGTGTGGTATGTCCTCATGTGCACTGCTTGGGTTGCATCTGGGTGGGTCTGGGAGCAGCTTTAGGAGCTGGCCAATGATTGAGACGACTAGCTGGGGCGGTGTCCTTGGTGCCCATTCTTTGTCCTCCGGTAGTTGCTCCGTAGCTGCTCGAGCCCCCATCCATTCATTTGCGGATCTAGTAGGGTGGAAAGATTCAGCAGGAACACTCTGTGTCTGTAGATTTTTAAACATACCTACGGGGGTCGAGGGAATTCGACGGCCCTCGCCCGCCTGCTGCTGCTGCGCCACTGCGCTGGCCATCACCCATGGCTCAGCTGAAGTCATCCTTCCAATATAAAGGAAACAAAAAGGAGCCAATGCGCCGAATCTTTGACTTTTGGAGCAACAGAAGACGGGTCCTGGTGGTGGAGAGGCTTAAATCAGTGCGTCCCCGTGAGGGGAGCCACGGTCAGACGCGTGCACCCTCCACCAAACGTTTCAAAACGCAAAAAATAATGAAATATGCAAATTAAAGACGGATGTAGAGGCACCTGTGAAAAAAACGGGGATTATTGCTCACCGTGGTAAGGACCACTCAAATCAAGTCAAATGAGGCTCACAAGGCTAGGGCGAAGCAGAGCCCCCAGCGCCTCGGGGTGCTAGGCGGGGAGGTAGATTTCGCGGTGTTGTGCTCATTACAGTGAGCTGTTGAAGCGAATTACCACCGAATATAATTTATAATTGTTATTTCAGCCAAATGGGTGAGTATGAGTCTAACAAAGTGATGACAAGAGGCGCACCAAGGAGTGTTGGGAAGGCGTTTAGTATGGCTGGCAGTAACAGACGGAAATTAACTCATCTGTCTATTCTATATTGCATTCCTATCTTTCAAACGGTCAAAGAAAATGGAATGAGACTGCATAGGAGTCCATGAGGAGGGTTGTAGCTCACTGGGCGGTGCGTTTGTACCTTTTTTCTTTGAAATGGAACAATGTTTGCAAGCCTCAGAGGATTGCGAGCAGCTACCTCACTCACGGGAGCAGGAACAGCTTTCCTCATGTTAAACACATTGTGAGGATGTCGCCGTTATCATTTGGGTTTGTGTGATCCAACTCTGGACGCCTAGCGCGCCGCGCGGTGTTGCACATTTAAACCAACAAACGAACACATGCATTAAAACCAGCCGAACTCAGCCAAACCACATCCTTCAAAAAGCTGACGACAGTACGATAGCATGCTGTTTGGGTAATACCTGCGCCGGACCCGGCAGGAGGCGGAGTAGTGTGATCACAGGGGAGCAGTTTGCCTCTCTACACGTACATCTGACACCCGCTGCTTCCGTTCAACTTCGAAATATCAGGCTTTCGAATGATTTGCATGAATCGATTATCATATCCCTTGCAATCATGCGTGCAGGGTCTCTGGGGCACTCGTGTGGCGTTGTTTGAATTCACTTTCAGAGGTTAACAATACATCGGTATCCTACTTATCCTCCAACTTACTGCAACAATGACGAGGTGTAACCGTCCCTAATGAGTAGAGATTGTCATGGCTTGAGCTAAGCCATGAACTTTCTAAGTAGACGCTCTGCAAAATAAGCGTGCCCTGAAGAAAATGGCCATGCAGTAAAATGGCCATGCAGTGCCGACGCACCAACGTTCCAAATAGAAGAAATGACGGAATTCAGAATACCGCTCATGCTGGAGCACTGCGTCGTAAGACCCTTCTTTGGTTACCAGCAGAAAACCGGGCATTGCAAGTAATATGCGTCAGCGTGACTCAGTAAAGAGAGGATGCTGAGCTACATTTCACACTTCCTTGTCTTCGCTTGCGCAACAGTGCATCTTCAGTCTGCACTCTGTGCTGTTTTCACTCATCTTTAAGAGATTAAGCGGCACAGCTCACTTTGTTAAACTATAATTGTACAAGCGCTAACTCACTAATCGTCATCGCGTGATTTAGTTTCAGGTGACGCATTTTATTCACCTAACAGCTGGCGTTCGCGGGATAGTTGCTTTTTACTATAAAAAAAGAGCAACATTCGTTATGATGTAAAGACGCCAAACACTCCACATGATAAAGATGATTAACAGCACCTTTTAGTCATCGCTCAGCAAAACACACCCCGCCTGCAAACCCCTGCTTTTTGCCTGCTTAGTTTAAAGCCTCCTAAACCAGCGACGACTAGGGGCTAGCTAAGATTCAGATTCAAGTTGAAAGGAGAGCAGTTGCGTCTTGCTCATTGAAACGCACGATGGTAATCACAAACGCACCATATGTCTCTTGCTGAAACGCTCAGTGCCACCCAGAAACGCACCAGAGCATTTGACCGAAGAAGTGAGGCTAGGTAACAGGACCAACGGGCCTTCTGAGGAAATTGAGTTCCTGCCAGATTTCTCCAAACGCGTCTCCAGGCAAAATCGGTTGCGACTTCAGAGACCTTTGAACGATGCCGTTGCCCGTTTCCCTCTCTTTGGGCCCGCCAGGAGCGTTCCATGCCAGGTTGTGAATTTGAAATCGTGCTGTACGGCACCGTACTTCTTGTGAATTGAAGTCATCCTGGTTGGTGACGACAGCGCCTTTGTTGCCTGACTCTGAATCCCGTGGGGACTGGTTCAAAACCGACGCCACGACCACTCATTTAACCGTCGTGCAACGCCTTGTGCAAATTTGAAGTAAACACTACACGCCCATAGCAGGGCCTGCCCTGGTGAGGTTGTAACATTTAAGTAAGGAAATTTCAGAATTTCTGAGCTAGATGCTTTGTTACATTCTCCTTGACCTAATGCACGCATCATCCACGCTAATACGAAGGCACCACGCTGCTCAAGCCCTCAAAATGCACCTCAAGCAACTTCATGTGAGCCTAATAACTTCACAGCGACTCTCCTGTGGCGTTGTGAGAGTTTCTACACACTGCAGCGCCACGCACTTCTAGAAAGCTGACCGCTTCCTACACATGCTAATTAGCGATCACATTGGCTTGTACACCCATGGCACATTGTGGTACTAAACTGCTGAAGCACAGTAGCAATACATCCAACATAGAGTACCAATCAGTGCAAGTTTGGAAATGTGCGCCGTCCACAAACTGTCGCAATCTATACTTGCGAGTTGCTAGACGGGATTTTGTGCTTGACTGCTTTTTTCTTGCTTTTCTTTGCTTTTTTCCTCGGCAAGACTTCGGACCCTGAGCTTTCACTATGAGCGCCGAGGCGCTGTGCCAGGGCGCGTCGCAAAGCCGCCATTAGCTCTGCTGTGGCTCCACCCCACCATACAGGCCTCTGAAGCTTTCGAATTGGGGGCATGGGAGCTGTTTCTTCACTGGTAGGTGGTCCTGGTTCCTTGGCAGCCCTTAATATTCCTCTGGGGGGGGCGGCCCTGGCCTGTGGGGCATCTGGAACCGCCTTGGGTTCGGCAGCGAGGGATACCCCTTTGCCTGGCGACAGTGCTGCAGGACCTACTGCGAGAGATGGCGCGTGCCGCGAGAACGCTGGAGAGAAAACAGCAACAGCAGACGATAAACGCGGAAGCACTCAGTGCTCTGAAGCCCGAAGCACTATCAATGACCCTTTAACGCAATGGTTGCTGACGGACAACTGACAACTTACAGACCACTTTATTTTTCTTTAGATTGAATAGAACCCGCTTGCTGCTAGGCGCCGATTCCGAAATACGTAGACTTCTTCTTCGTGAGGGAGCGCCACTCCGCATCTGCGTCTCTACGGAAACAATGGTGTTCTCCGATGGTGCAGCTGCTCCTCCCTTTTTCACCACTTCGCTCTGAGATGAACTTTGTTGTTTCCCTGATGGCTGGCAGTTTGCAGAGTGTGCTGAGACGGTATCTACTGCAGGGTCACTTGCGCTGTCTTGAGCACTGCTTCCATGGCCTGTGCCTGGATCGCTACTGTTATTGTTACTGCCGCTGGCAGCATGCGGGACTCCACTGCTCTGAATGGGTAGACGTAGGCCGTCGGCTGAAGCAGCGGTACTTCTGGCGCACGTATCTCCCCGTTTTCTGCCGTTTTCAATTTGCCCCTTCCTTCGCTTCTCCTTTGCCGCCTTCTGCACTCCTGCCTGACCAGCAGCTTGCGTTTCATCTGCTCCGGGCTCACCCATTTGCTGCTGCAACTGCTGCACTCGCAGGCGCTTCTTCGCCCTCTTTGTTTCGCAAGGGGTCACTGCAGAGCCATCACTGCTCGAAGCTATGGCGCAAACGCTGGGTCTTTGCGTACCCGCAGCTTTCTCTCCATCAAGATCACTGGATAATGGCCTTTTCCGCTTAGGATATTCGAGTAGTGGATTGCACGGTATTTCTTGCAAAATCTTCTGCTTCTCGGCGTCGAACTCGGATATTACGCGCTTTACTATCAAATCTGCAAAGCTACGCGGCGTGAAGGAGCCTACTTGACGCTCACTAGCATCCGCGTCCTCTGCAACTGGTCTCTCATTTTCTGTGGACATGTCAACAGCACAGAACACTCAAGTACTTAGAACGTGGACTAGAGACGGACGAGGAACCTAGGACCGGCCCTCGTGAAAAACATCACCGGTACAGAGTCAGACAGAGGAGCGGAACAAACCTTTGAGACGCTCGTGAGCGGCGAACACCTGCTTCCTATTTTCACTACGGATGCGCCTGCAGAACCGAGAATGTACAGACTTGCAGAGCCCTTTGATTCCGAAGTAAACAATTTTGCTGGCATAAGTAGCACTTCTGCAGTCACGAGAACACGAGAGCAGCAACCGAGCTGCCGATCTTGATTAGAGGTTGTATTATTCTACCGCATCATCCCCAAAGACACTGGAACTCTCAAATTCAGCTCTGTGGGCATGTATACGCTGAAAAGAGCAAACAACCGACTTGTCGCTGGCTAGGGAGAAAACAGCCGCAGCAACGAACTCGGAATCAACATCTTTTGGCATCAACTTCGCCAATGCCTGCGCAGACAAAAGCATACAGGCACAGCGACCTGCAGGCGGGAGAAGCCAAAACGTAATTCGCCTCTACAGGACCAATCGTGAGGCACGAATTACAGTCCGAATGATGCAGAATTAGCGCAACAAGTAACTAAAGACACAGAAGCCGTTGAGCCAGAACCCACCCGATCGCGAATGCGAACAATCAGTGACGCGTCCTTTGAGAAGCACAGACAGCGAAGAAATGGCACGAAGATCCAAGCGAAGGCCCGTAGCCTCTCCTGAATAGTCACACTCAGCCCTTGGCCAATGCCTTCCTCAGCCCAGCAGCTGCGGTCTGTTGACACAGCTATCTTCTACATAGGGAGACGGCAGCCAGCACGCATCACAAATGTTCGAAACACAATAAACAGCAGAAAATGTCGCGCAGAGGGGATGCTATGGTATTGGTCTCACGTACTTCTTCGTCTTCCTCCCGCTGTGGGTCAGAACTCGAGCTCCCGGACTCTGATGACGGACAAGCCTCAGCGTCCAGCAGCACCCTGAATTCATCTGTGACAATGTCAGCCAGATGAAGAGCAATGCCGCGGGCGTTACTCTGAAGCATTACTTCCTGACACAAAAATTCGATGGCTGCACGAGTGAACTGCAATCAACGGAAAAAAAAAAACGCACAGACGCGATCCCTCAGATCAATATTACATCGTGCAAGGGCACGAGGCCTGCAAAGCTGCCATTTGTTTATTAACATATTCTGAAATGCATGCCAGAGCATGTAAGTCTTCTATGTGCAAATAATGAGAATGTGCGGTGAATATTCAGGCCAGTAAACACCTACTGTTTCCTCCCACTTCATAAGACGCATCACGTGCATCCACTCTGCCAAAAAGATTCGACAAAACAGGAGAAATTTGTTGGTGCGATGCCTATCAATTTTCCCCCACTCTGCAATGAGCACCTTAAAAAAACCGCAAAAGAAAAGGGTCTTCGCCCGAGGGCACTGCAGACGCCGGTGCAGCAGCGACGTGCGCACGAAGAAATCTCTCTGCACTAGTGGCTTGTCACTAAGCCAAGCAGCTGAAGCCAAGCATACAAAAAAGCATAACATTCAAAATTAATTGCAGTAAGCGCGGGCAGGCTGGGCTGCACGGTGGAGCTTCATTGAAGTGCAGTCTCATTGAGCCTTAATTCTCACCATAATACAAAGTGCTCCACACGTGAAGTATTTCATCTTCAGTGAGATCGCGGTAAGTTTCCAGAAAGCTGCCCACACTCGCCATCCCTGAGTGAAATGACACGTACCCATATCAGCCCTGTTGCATGAACATAGACGTATATATCAAAGGCCGTACGTGCTTCCCGACAGTACAAACAATGCCAACACCAGTAAAAAGGCATGCATGTCCACTAGCGGCAGCACGCTGTCCTCACTACGGCAAAGGTTCGTAACTGTTAGGTTAGCTCAACGATGAACAAAGCCGAGAGTAGGCTTGTGCAACACCAAATGGAATCGAACCTTTGTTACGGACTCGAGGATTCGAGTCTACCAGCGCGCGCGCCACGCGCAGCATTTTAGCTTTCTTTACGGTCGTTGCATCACTATGAGCGTCAGAGGCCTTCGTCTCTTGGGGTTGGTGCAAGTTGTCAGCATCTTCTGCGCTGTCCTCGGCTGAGCCAAATCCCTTAGCCTTTGCATACTGCACGAGCATGCCTCGGATGGCAGCATCCAGCTCGCTCGCCATCTCCGTCGTTAACCCCGGAAAGGTCACTCAGGTACAACTCTCACTTTCTCAATCACAGCAGACAAACAAACGGACTCTAAGGCAGTAGCAACAATCTGAGCGATGCTATGGAAGCACAAGGCTTCACAGGTGGCGATAAACACGAGATGGCAAGAACCAAACCATTGCAGGAGAAAAATGCCACACCCCGGGACCCTGAAGCACTCTACGGAGAGCGCCCTTTGCCAAATCTTCGTACGAACAGCTTGACACAAACCTTGAGAGCTCGGTGAAGTGAACACTGCTTTAAATAAGTCTGCAAACATGATTTTTGGAAGAAGTTTCACCTGGCAGCATATATATCTGATTTTTCTGCAGTATCCAGAGAACGGGGCTGGCTCCTGCCCCACAGCGTAGGCTGTTCTCTACAGTTCTGGTGAGCACTAGTTGGGCTCATGGAACCCTCCAATTACTCGATTTATCAATCTAATGATCAAGATATAACTTCACAAATTCCGCTTACCCGTAATAACGGTTGGGGCGGTTCTGCCACTCCCTTCTTGCAGAGGAAGGCTGCACGTGCCTTCTCTTTACACTAGGACACTGGCTACCAATATTTCTTATCAAAGGTGTTTTTATTTCGAAATAATTACTTTTTAATGCTGCATTGGTGGCAGTATTTCCCTGCAAAATTTTCAAAGAGTTCTGCGCCATGAGCGAGCCACGCTGCAGAGGTACTTACCACGGCTGTTTCCGGTCCCTGCTTCCCCGCTCGAGTTAGTTGAAATGGACCCAAATTATGGAAATAAGTGTAGGACAAGTCCGGAGATGTTGTAGAGCTTGCTACACGGAGCATTAAGGTTCACGGTAGGGATCCGGAATCAGCGCGCGCACTCTACCTTCCTGCTACTGTTTGAATCTCCCTCACCAGATGCTACCCCGTAGGCCACGCTGTCGTTTAAATGGAAAAGAAAGGAAGAGCATCACATGATTCTGGTAAATTTGTCGTGGCTTTGGAGGCATTCTGCGAGAACTTGGTGAAATAGCAGGACTTCTCGGGAACAGAGCCGGGAGTACAAGGTGCTAGGTTGTGCAGTAAGGCTTCACAAGGCCCTACATGCCACTAGATGCACCTCATGTAGGACCCTAGCGGCTCAGATTGGAAGAAAAGACCTTCCGAGTCCAGTGCCAAGCTTGTCACATTAGAGGAAAGCAGAAGTAGAGGTAGCAGCCTCTGCGCGAACATGTAGCAAGCGGGAATGACGGATACCTCCTGCCGCACACAATTGATTTAGGTCAAAACTCACTCTGAAAGAACGCAGGCAGTTTTCTATGCACTTCCCCAGGTCAACGTGCGGGCTGGTGGCCACTGTCGTTTACTTTGCCCTCCGTGGATTGCCACGAAGCCACAAAATTCCCGGATCTTCTTTAGCCACATGAGGCTATTAAGCCATTCGTATAGTCCCTCTGTAGATTCTGCTTGGCCAGTATCTGCCCATTTTGCACACCTCAGGCTCGGGGGTTTTTTTATCGTGCCAGTGTCAGGTCCCCCTTTGCCACTGTGCCTACAGCACGAAAGCATTAGAGCGTGCTTTTTTTTAAAAAGCACTGCTGGTCAACTTTACGTACAGTACTGCCGCTGGGACAGAGAAGTCTAAGGGATGCAATAAACGTAATAGTTACGCTCCCAAGCTAGCCTACAGCCTCAACAAACCCCTAAAGCTTTTAAGCTTGCGGGCTACGCAACTATCTGTGAGAGCAACTAGGCCGTGAAAACGCCTCGATGGGCCTTTAGTGCTTATTAAGTAGCTGGAGACAGCACACTGCAAACAATTAAAGCCTTTCTTCAACGCCAACACCAATAGTTCAGCTCAACCTGATTTTTGAGGCCTTTTGCAACTGTTATGCAAACCGATACGTGCTCTTGTGTAGCTGTCGCTCTGCTGCTGCAAAGCACAGGCCCAGCTCCAAGCTCAGGGCCACAGATAGAGCCGCCCACCAGCCACTGCTGGCCGCACTGTCACAGGCTCCACTATTGCCTCAAATCATGTGGAATTAGGCAACTGCAGGAATTTGCGACCGCAGCACCCCGTGTCATCGGGCTTTACATCGACGTAGAACAGGTTAATGTGCAGGGTTTTCCCTCGTAGGGACACTTCACGTACTTGTGACTGGCCTTTATTGTTAAGTGTTTACTGAGGAGTTCGGCGTTAACAGTAGACTCAGTCTGTTCTGCCTCATCCTTAGAAGCAGAAATCGTGAACATTACCTCCACGTGTACAGGCATGTCTATGAGACTTCCTTAGGAGCCATATCATAGTTGGTCTCAGTAGGCAACTTATTTGGGGATTGCTGAACCGAAGGTCCACTGCACAAGTGGGCCAAAATACGCTGAATTGTCCATTCGACTGCACGGACCCCGAATGAGCTCCAAGCGTCGGACCCGAAGAAGGCATGCACTCCTGCAAAGAAAATCGAAACACACAATTATGCGTTTTATATTGTTTGGGGCCTTGACTCCATGCGCCTGGTGTGTCGAAGCGCCCTTGCCGGGGGTTGTTTCTCGGGAGCACGATTAGCTGCTTACACGTCACGGGGAAAGAAACTTTAGCGAAGGTGGGCTGACCTGGAGCGATGAATAAGCTTGTTGGAACCCCGGCTCTCCTAAGCTTCTCATGAAAGAGAACACCAGTTTCGTACTGTATGTCATGGGTGAAAAGAACTGCATAGCAACAGATAGGCAAATACAATGGCCCCTGGTGATCCATGCTCTTTGATTTCTTTATTTCATGTCTACTGCAACAAACAGGCTTTGCACCGTGTACGCATTTACGAAAACACTTTGCGCTAAGCTGGGTAGTTTTCAAAGGAAAAGGAATGCAGGAGTGCGCAAACATATTCAACATGCAAATATAATGCCTAAAACAAATGTAAGGAGAATCGGACTCAAGCTTGTAGGTGGAAACTGAGAAAGAATCTTCACAGGAATCGCGAACGGGATCTGTCGCCAGTCCCACACCGGGCCCAGCGTTTGCGTGTGCTGCAGGAAACAGTCAAAATGCAACGGCAACGTCCCGCTAGTCCTTCAATGGTAATCATTTAATCATATCAACTGAGGGGTTCCCCTTACACAAGTTTTCGCTTGTTCGCTCTTGCGTGCCGTTTTGACCTAGATTCATCTGACGTATCCATTGAGGGCCTTACCGCAAATGCAAACCAAATATCATTTCTTAGTGTGTTTTTGTCGCCATACCTACGGGCAGCAAGCAGGCAACACTCTTCACAGGTTTAACCAACTACAGAGCTAGTCCGACGTAGTCTCCGACACACTTTTCTGCAAGTCGATAATCTTAGCATTGCTTGTTGGGTTCACTCTGCAATGCAGGGGCCCCTGGTTACAAGCCCCTTGGTAGCAGAGCAACGCTGTTCTGCACCAACACGCTGATACACTCGCAGAGCCACACTTGATGGAGTACTGTCGCAGTTGCCGGGGCTTACAGCAAATGACTTCTAGTTGGGCATCCTCGGCAAAGCGATGGATATACAAGAGCCGCATGGCGGACGCTGCGCACCCACGGGTATCTCTGGGGAAGCCTCAATGCCTCCGCTAATACGGATGCCACCAAAGCGCCACCGGCACTGTCTCCAATAAGAGCTAGCCTGCAACAAAATGATGTAGGAAAAATGTCTTAAGAGACGAGGCTTACGACCTCGAAACTGCGACGTCAACATGCACACAGGATACCACTTAATTATACCACCGTGAATTTGCAAAATTCTAACGAACACAGCAATATTTTCCAGCAGGCGCACTTGCTGCTGTCGATGCCGAGCTCTTCTGCATGCTGAACAACAAAGTTAATGGCGTTAAGGCAGTCTTCCATGGGAATTGGAAATTTGTGTTCTGGCGAAAGTCTGTAGCAAAGCATTACCACCTGATGGACAACTCATTCCGCATCATAATGCGTTATACTCTCCAAAGTAGGAACAAAAGCTGTCTCATGCAACGCGCTGTACCCAAGTGGGGTACAGCCAAAAGGCGATATTATGACTGGAAGCAGCTTTTATAGTCTCCAGCTTCCAGAACGCGGCTACTTATGCTTTATGGGCTGCTACTTCATAAACAGATGGTCAGCTACGAAAATTAAACACAGGCTGTCTTTCTTGCAAGAACTAGACTGTGCTTAAGACGAATCTTCACCTGTAGTCAATCGAGACAACCACTCCGTTAGCGGCTCCAATGAGGTTCGTCATTCGTCGCACAAGTTTGTCATAAGCTGCTGTTGAAAGGGCCACCAGACCGCCACCATGCAGGAATATGAGTACGGGCCGTAAATGCTTCTGCGCAATTCCGTAAGCAGACCAGACAAAGAATAAAGAAAACTCATGTCTTTCATGTCTGTTGACCAGTGTATAGAAAGCCTTCCAAATTGCTGATTTTGGATACGTGAGATGTTTCTTCGGCTCCAAAATCAGGCTTCAGTGTTCTGGCTCCAAACTCTATGGCTCGTTTACGGGTCTACAAGCAGCCGAAAAGCCTGAGTTTCGGCATTTGGCTGAACTCTGCAGCTTGTATAAGCAGCGACGCACATGGACTTCCGCGTGGTGAACGCTCTTTTCTGCGTTCACGAAGTGGAGAGATTCAACATGGATCCTATAGGCAGTAGTCCCGCTAATCCGTCTAGCCGCACTACTTCTGCGGAGAAGCTCTTCATGGCCCTCTTTGCAAACATCTGGAACACTACGGGGAGACTGCAGGTCTGGCGCCTCAGAGCACGTTATTGGCACATACAAGTGCACGGTAATCGTGTCCACATGCTTGCCATAAGTCGGTTTTTCCAGCTGAGCAGCGTCTGTTGTGTCTAAAGGGTGCGGTGGCATTAGCTGACTTGGAACACCTTGGGGCAACGATTGAGGCCTTCTGATGATGACAGACTCAGGGTCTGTAGGAGCTTGCAGTTGGCGCTTGGTGTACACTTCGTCATATGCAAGGGCATCGGGGGGATTTCGAGGAGCCACTGCCCAGTCTTCGGTTCCATTTTCGTCAGCATAGGACGTGTAAGACGCTTGAAGAGCCCATGAGACGCGAAAAGCAATAGGCTGAGACTCGCGCATCATGAAATCGCCCATGGCTCTGCACGTAGCGCAGTGACGAAAGCGTGTGGTTTCAGGACAGTAAAATGCCTTTGGGACGGGTACCGTGGGCCCCTACTTACAGACATACTCTTAGCGAAAATTCATGCCCAGGGATTAAGTGCTGTCACCAATAAGGGCAGGTTGGGACACACTTCGTACTCAGTTCCTTTAATATTTTCGCCCTTACAGGTCTGAACGCTCACGGAAGTGAGCAATATTGTGCAGATGATAAAGGTACTGGGGACGAGACATGAAATTCGCCATGAGAGTGTACATGTTCTCCACGGCGGAGAGATCACCAAAGCACGCATGCTGCGTGGATTAACATCGCATCTATTCATTCAAGAGTTCACCCAACTGGACAAATTGAAGCTGCGTAGCAGGTATGCAGCTTCGGAAGCACACCTGAGCCTTACCAGGATCATGGAAGGCCTGGTACATCATATAGTTAGGCCCTGAAATGCTATTTCGGCTGTAGAAGCTTTGTTTGTTTTGGTGGGCTACTGCTTGTGGGTCCATACACCTTAGACAGTGGCTGAAACAATGCTACACTGGATTGGTAAGAGTGGAAACGATAGCGCAAATATTCTGGGCTTACTCGCCAAGCAAGAGCCGCCATTAGTGCCAGGCAGCACACAGCGGCGGCTATGAGTTTTGCTGCCATGGCGATGAAAGTGTGCAAAATGCCGACGTGGAGACGCGGAATGCACGCAGAAAGAGCGAATAGTCTCCAAAGAGACCTCCTGGCTTCTCCTTAAAAATAAATCGTGATCCTGGGGAACCAAACGCTTCACAATGAATATGAGGGAAAGTCTCTGGGATTTCAAAGCATACGATTATTGAGGGTCCCGCCCTCTGCCATGCTTCAACCCGTCGAGCCCTAGCACGCCAAAAAACTAATTCCAGCCACTTTTCAATTATCCCCGGACAGTTTCCAGATCTTCTGGCGGCTGTGCTCAAGCAGTGTGCAACTTTGTCCAGGTGACCCTGAGTTGGGGCTTGCTCTTGTGAGCTGGTGAAGGGATGTAAACAAAAACATGTTTTTCAATTGAAAGCATACATAGTTTTCCATTCAGCTAATTTTCATATTGGGCTGGAACTACTACTGCAACCTAGACGCGAGTATTAATGTGAGAAGTACCGTGGTTTACTCTGGGACTACTCAGCCCAAGAGCAAACAAATAACCACTGAAGACATAATTTTTTTCAGTGACTGAACCCAAAGTGTTTTTCTAATTGAGGAATTAGACGAAGGTGCCCCCACTTCGGATCACGCAAGGGAATGATGCCAGAGTACTAACGAGCTGAAAAGAACACATACCGTACGTTCTAGGCTCTGCGAGGACTCCACCACAAGCACTGCACACTTAGCATCAAAGACTGAATCATTTTTCTCAGAGCTGCCTAACTCAACTCTGTGCAAGGGACGGGGCCGATAACCTGTGGTGGCTCAGTGCCAACGCTCCAAATGCGAAGTGACCTCCCTTCACCCCTGTCAATCGCCTGCGGCTCTTCCCGATAGGCGGTCCTGTGTAGAAACTAACTATCCTTCATGTTATTTTTTCCTGGCACTTTGGACTTGGTAATTTCCTGTTTAATGTCGAAGGGAGGGTCTATGCATTGTTTGCTGAGCTCCCAGACTCCAACACGGTCAGTTGATATAGCCTCAACACTTCGCGATTTGACATTCCATCTTCTTACCATGAGTAGCAAGCTTTAGACCCCCACTTCAGGTAGGAGCTACACTTGAAGTCCAGAAGGAAACGATTGAAGACTGTTTGCTGCACTGTTACTCTTGCTGCACCTTTTAGTTATTTGCGCCGCAGTGGGCTTTTTACGGATCATCTCAGCTAAACCAGGGTGAATGCTGCTCAAGAATAAACCAGAAACACACTCTAATGCTCTATTCCAAATTCTGTGGAGGGCTCAAACCAACACTTCGAAAATGGTGTAACTGGCTTGGCGTATACGTCTAGAGTGCTCCCTTAAAGGGAAAAATGCCACTCTCTCCTTTCTATCCCTTTAAAGAGATCCACGATGCTGTCTGCGTAAGTATACCACCTCCCTCATATTTTACACATTCAATCCGTGTCATCGGGGAAGTGCCGTGTCTTCTTCCTTAGGAGGGAAGGGCCGCAAATGCATGACTTCTAACAAACCGAACTGGCTTATCGGCAAAAGCCCGTTCTTATCTCAGCTGGGAGTGCGAAGAAATGCCCAAAACATTTTAAAATATCTTCTCGTCCTTTCAGCTTGTTCTTCCGCTCATAGTTATCAGGATCCCCCCTACGTTTAAGTGAAATCTGATATGATTGCATTCGATGGCTTAACTTATGCATGCGGTAAATCTTTCAGCTGGGGAATTTTCTCTTGCTTTTCAATGGGAGGAGGGTCTTGGGCAGAAAATGCGCCACGTTCCGCCCATCTGGTGTGGCCTTATGAATACCAGGATAGAATACTAAAGTGGGTTTTGTTGCTTGCGCATTTCGGGGGGCAGTCAAGAGGACTTGTGATAAAGTAGAATCTAGGCTGTTTCTTTGATTTAGCTCTGGAAACGGGACAAATGCTATTCGCCGTACGTAACTTTGCCTACTACAGTCGTGTGAATACAAGCCCGTGACTCACTTGGGCAAAAGGAGAAAAATTCTGGTTGTGCGGTGGCGGAATGAGATAGAGCAATCAAACTTGAACGCGAAATTTCATTTCATGTGACTAGAGAGAAGCATTTGGAGCTGCTTATTAAAAATAAAGCGTGCAAATGAGTCCGCGAGATTGGAGCATTCCCGCACTTTTGCTCAACTCAGCAAAAGTGTACTTATATTGGCATAAGGCTGAAACGGTTCAGATTTGAAGAAATACTTCTTACTTCACAAAGATTTAGCGGAAGCACTATTTGGGGTTGCTTCGTTCAGCCACAGCGGGCTGCACGAAAAGCTGATTCACACCGCTGAATGCACTGCGAGCTACTGGATCTTCATCCATCATATGGCGCCTCATTAACACGGGAGTAAGGAGGTTCGTCCAGGAGCACTAATAAGCAGTAGGACGCAAGGAAAAATGAAGCACAGATAACCGGTCTGTTGTAGTCTTCCGGGCGAATTAAATGAACATTAAAGCCGTAATTTGAGGAACAGCCCTTAGCTCCACAGCCAGGAACTGCCTCATAAACGAAAGTGATTCGTCCATTCTTTTCCCGCTTCATGCGCATATCTATGTGGCAGTCAATACCGAGCATAGCAGCTGATGTGGAAGCTCCGTGTCCGCTTCGTATTTCGGAAAGTGTTTCGAAAAGTGTTTCAGTCGCCACGAGCCACACCACACGATACCAGCCCACCTCTTCCTACCCTTTGCTTGTATAAGCTAGCTTGCTAACTTGCTAGCTATGGATACGATGGCATCTAATCATACATGTGACTAGGTACTGGCTGGTCCCAGGTAAGTCTATGAACCAAGTAATGCCCTACAATGGGAATATGTTTATTGAAAAAGAGGTACTTGCTTCACGTTGCCTGACCAGAAGCTAATCCTCGACATACGCCATCGGCCATCTTCTTCAGCAGAGCAGCTCTGCTCTGCAGGCTGAGAGGAAACAGCTCTTCCGGGGAGTGCGCTGCAGCACACCTGTGAAGCCGCTGGAAAAGCTAGGAGGTAGCTGAGCCTTGCAGACAGAAGAAACGGGAAACTATCTCTGCTCCACTTCAGTATTCGTTCAGCTCCAGTTCTGACTGTTTCTGTACCTGCCCCTGTGACAATCTTCGACAGGTAGAAAGTAAAGAGTGACTACAATAGTAACAAGCATAGAAGGGACACATTTGTGGAGCTCCAGAGAACCTTCCATCTCCACCAGCTGCAAACGCCTGGTGGGGCTTTTCTCTCCATGCTTTAACCTCTGTCAAAGCTCGAGCCTTCCAAAAAAAAGTGTTCAACAGTTGAACACCCTCACTGCACTTCGCCGTGACGCACAGGCGCTCTTAACGCAAGTTAACACCAGATCCCTACTAAGTTAACACCTGACCCATGCCACTGCAGCTGTCGGCTTTTTCAGGTGAACAACATCAATGGAAGGAGCCTGAATAGGGCCCACAACAGTGGCACTCGCTGTCTGATGGCCTCCCAGTCTACTCAGCTACATACCGCAGTGCAAATCTCCATGCGTTTCCCCCCGCTTCCCTCTTAGTAAAACTATGAATGTTATGAGCAGTACCTACACCTACATTTTCTGCAGAAAAAATGGTTGCGCAGATGCGCCAATAACAAATAGAGGCGTCTGAGGAGAATGACCACCTCTCATTGCACGGCGAGGGAGCCACCATCTCAAATTCCCATGCACACAGCACACTTTCGTAGTATGGCTAACCAGATGCCTCTACCTGGTGCCGCATAGGGCACTTCTATGCTTCAGACGCTTCAGACAAACCGCAGAGGGGGAGCAGTGCACTGAATGCGATGACGAGATTGTCCTAGGCACTGGACAACAACTGTTTTGCGGAATGAGTGTCTTCTAGTTGACCAACCTGGTATACAATAAACAAAATAAACAAAAAATAGAAGAAAAAATATTTGAGCTGATGGAGCTCAAAAAGCCTTACAGCTCCCTATGCAACTTCCGAGTCTCAGGGGTGAGCGGCTTGTCCCGCATGCCATACCATAATGGGCCTGTAGCTTTCTAACGTACACAAATGCCAACCGCCCCATATTTCATTTTGATGATTCTTCAGCTGGCTGGCGGGCTTCATACATTTGCAAGTATCCCTATCTTCCACTGGGTTTTCTTGACCTTTCCTTGGTGAGGGCTTGTAACTACTACACACGCGCCAAGGACTACTAAAATGACAGCCTGGCCTTCCAGAACTATATATTTACCTTATGTCCAAGCAGCAGTCACGCGTTAGCCTTTCACGGGCAGCCCCCTTCATCCCGTGGCTTTGTTTACTCCACTCTTCTTCTCCTTACCAACGCCTCTAACCGACCTTCACTTGTCGCCGTCTTCTCGCTCACGATACATTGTCGAAGTCTCCTGCTCTCTCTTCTTTACCAGCTCATACGGGACAGTGGCCCGTGCTACGCTGAGTTGAGGCACGCCCCCTACATTAGCTCGCCTTGCGAAAGCTTGCGTAGACCCGACAGGAAATACCCTAATTGAGCAAAATCACCCTGGCTTACACGCTACCCAGTGGAAAGCGTGTAAGCCAAGGCGATGCTGCTCAATTCAACCCTACAGGGCCCTGTCTGACACGTTTAGGGAGTTTATCCTGGTGCCCAAAGTCCTGTGTCGGGGAGGCTCCCAACTCAAGGTGGACTTTGTTCGACGGAAAATGCATCGAACTGTTTCCTGGCTGCTCCCCTTCGGTGCCTGATAGGTATCAGGGCCCCAGTGTATAGGCCACTCAGCAGCAGCACCGTCAAGGGTGACGGAGATGCTGGAGTCTGTGGTGGAGAGGCTGTTGAGCCGCTACCTGGCTCAGTACGTGAGAGGAATCAGCCGAGACAAACTATCTGTCGCTGTATGGAGTGGGAACGTAGAGCTGGAGGACCTTCAAGTTAAACCAGAGGTTTCGGACCTTCTTGGCATCCCATTTCGCGTTATATGGGGCCGTGTACAGAAAATTAAGCTTACGATTCCCTGGTCGAGGCTGGGCACTGCCCCTGTGTGCGTGGAGGTTGCCGGTTTGCATGTGCTGCTGGAGCCGAAGCCGATACCTGAGCAAAGTGATGCACAGTTGATAGAGCAGCTGCGGGATGTGAAACGCAGACAGGTGGAGGCATGTGAACAGCAGATGCACGATGCCAGATTAAGATTGGTAGAGCAGCAACAGCAGCAAAGCGCTGCAGGTAGCACTAGCAGCAGCAGGGAGGGTGACGGAGGCTTTTTCTTTCGCTTTGTCAATAAGATTCTAAGTAATCTCTTGGTTGACATTAGGGACGTCCACATTGCTCTTGTAGACCCAGTAAGGGGCTTCTCCATAGGGGCGCTTCTAGCACAGGCATCCATACACAACACAGATGCTGCTTGGGGGCGCCACGAACAGCATCAGCAGCAGCGGCAGGCAGATCCTGCATTCTATAAGGCGTGCGAGCTCAGCGGCCTCGCTGTCTACTGCGCTCTTGATGGGGCGAAGACCCAGCAGTCGACACAGCAGCGGCGAAGCCGGCCGTGGCAGCAGGAGCATCACCAGCAGCTGGTGTCGGCGCAGCGAGAGGCTTCACCTGAAACGCCACCATTCCCCGTAGTCCCTCAACGACTTCCAGATAAGCCGCCCGCACCTTCCTCATCTCCACCTCCTGGCTTGTTACCCCCAGCAGAAGCAAAGCAGAAAGCAACGGACGATTCAACGACCATTGTTGATACCTCATTTGCAACGGAAACGCAAGTGGAAGGTCCCCACTCAGCGAGGCAGCAAGGAAACTCCCCACTGCTGGGGACCCTAATGAATAAGGCGAGCGCGGAAGGCGGAACTCCTTCAGCTGCCCACGGTCAAGTAGTACGTTCTCCCCCTCACATGGCACTATGCCAACAGCGCAGCACTCCGAAGTTTTTATATCTTGTGAGACAACCACACATTTGTTTCAGGGTTGTGAGCTTCCTGTTTATTTGAACCGCAGGGGACAACAAATCAGCTCTCACCGATGATATGGGTGGATCCCACCGAGCCACACAGGGCGCCTGAAGGTCTATCCAGTCTCAGTCAGAAATGCAAAGGGTCTTTAGGGGACACCCAAGTCAGTCCCACCAACTCATGCGAGGCAGCAGTACCAGCCCCAGGAGCAGCGGTAGGAACGCCTCCAGTAGACGCAACTGTAGCAGCTGAAGAAGGAAGAGCTCCAGTAGCGGCAGAAGATTCATCTCTACCATGGACGCGGCAAGGCGGAGGTGGCGTGAGTGGGCGCAGCCAGTATGTGCTGAAGCCGTTGCATTTAAGACTGACTCTATCGCACACATCTGCCCAGCAGGAGTTGGTTGCCCGTCTTGAGGTGTTGCGGGAAAGCCAGGGGATAGAAATTGGCCGATCTCAGCTTGAAGCCTTACTGGCAATCTCAAATGAGGCCGCGCAAAGGCGACAGCGTTGCGAACAACTATTGCTGCGCCAGGCCCACACGGTAATGCTAGGCACAGAGGGCCTGGAGGGAACAACTCAGAGAGAGTTTATTGGTTTGTACAGTCGCCAGCTGCAGACCGAGGCCGGAATCCGAGGGGTGGCGCCCCTGAGCCATAAAGAGAAACAGAGGCTTGTGATTCTCCATGACGTTGTAGGCGTCAGACATGTAAGTTGGGTCGCTGCGTGAACGCGTGAACAATAATCTGCGTTTGTGTGCAGCTGTAGATACCATTTGCAATCAAATAACTTAGGATGAGGAGCATTCGCTGTGTATTTGTCAAAAGGACCCTCTTAGGGGTTGCATCGCCCAGTTTGGCGCGCAGCGTCTCTGCTGCTTCACTCTCTATGGTTTCCCTTGCTGCGCGTCACAACGCTTTTGTGGAAGCGTATAGATTTTCGAACAGACATATAAGTGGATGTTTGTTTGGCAGTGTTTCTTTTCCCCCTATGCATCCATCGTAGTGACCTTTCGTGCCTCTTCTGAATCTCTGTACTTCCTCTTCTGCCCCTCCCGCTTGTGTTGTAGTTGTACTACGTGCGACCTTCGCTCTCTTGTTGTCCATTGCGTCTTTGCCGCTGCCTCCTTACCTTCACTTGAGCAAACACATCGTTCATTAAACCATCCTGTTGCTGGCCGATTTCTTGCGCTCCGCAGCAATCAGCGCGGGCTCCCCTGCGCTTTCCTATTCGAATAGCCGACACTGTTACATTCAGACTGTACCAGTGTTCTTGCGTTCTAGAAGCGCATCTCAGGCCAATGCTGTTTACGTTTGCACTGGGTTTTGGATGTGCTGGCGCAGCTTGCGAAGTGGCGCAACATTTGCACTGAAGCAACAAACCGCGTTCTTCAGCAAACGCAACTGCTGCAGCAACAGCAACAACAGCAGCTGTTGCAACAACAGCGCCAGCTACCGCGGCTGCAGCAGCCGAGCTGGTGGCAGTGGGTAACTGGTCGCCAGTCAGTGGGCCAATTACCAGCTCCTCAGCAGCAGGCGCATGCATCCGGAAACTGGCCTCATAGTACCGGGGAAGAAACGCAAGCTCCTCTACTGACAAGCGAAGACATACAACTTATTGTTGATGCTGTGCAGGTCTGTTACTGCGTCAGGCTGAAAGGCAAAGCTGTTAAATAGGTGTAAATAACTGGCAACTAAGCATATACAAACTTGTAAACAATGAGCGGATACCAATTTGGCCGGGTAAATACAAACAAGTACCTCCAAGAATGCAGAGGAAGATTTGAACTATTTACTTGTGCATGCCTGACAGGAGCGCTAGTAGCTCTTGTTTGTTCCTGCTTCGCCACTTCCACCAAGTGACTGTGCTGAGGCCCTTAATCGTTGCTGCAGGTGCTCAATCACTCCACCAGCGGGTGTAGTTGCTTCCTTCACCTGTGACGCTGCGAATTGACAGGACGCAGCACAGCATTTGTGACACTGTTCTTTGCTGCAGTCGGACAAGCTGATGCAGAGTGTATCGCTGCCCACTAAGTACGTCCTGACGTTCGAGTTAGAACACTTCTGCATATGCCTGAAGAACGATTCCGAGATGCAGCAAGAGATGGAAGAAGAGACAGCCGAGGCACTCAGGGAGGCTAAAGCCATAAAGGCCATTGGCTACTCCCCCACAGAAGCCGCTAAGGCCCTTCCCCCAAACTTCCCGCGGCCACCGCCGCCACAGAAACTGGCAGCAGCAATCGCAGCGGGAGACACACCAGTAACAGCAGTAACAGCAGGTGCTTCGTTGGAGAGAGGTGGACACACAAGTCCAGGGCTTCTACGGCCAGATGCCGCAGTAGAGAAGGCGTTCCTGTCCGTTGAGCTCTTCAACCTTTGTGCTGCCCTGGACCTGCTTAACAAACAAGACGCAGCTGGGCGAGACAGCAGCGAATGGTCTTTCTGCATTTCGCTTTCTAATGTTGCAGTAAGGCAACAGTCACACCTCCTCATGCACTTCCGCAGAGATGGTGGAACTGTTACTGGAGAACCCGTGACACCTGCTGCTGCTGGTACGGCAGGAGCAGCAGCAACGCCAGCTGCAACTGGAGCTGCAGCAGAGATGCTTGGGGTTTTGGCTCATCATCAGCGCCTGATGATGCTACGTACCGCAGCATCGAGCGACACGATCGCTTCCAGCAGCAGTAGCAACAGCAGCAGTAGCAGCAGGAGCAGTAGCAGTAGCAGCAGCTGGAGCAGCAGCAGCAGCAGCTGCAGCAGCTGGAGTTTTAGTCGTGGCAGTACTTCAGTTTCCGTGCCTCCTGTAGTTGGTGCGTCGTCTCTCACTGCAGCGCGCCTGGAGCTGCGACATGATCTAACACCAACGGGAAACATACTCGGTGTATTTATCCGGTTAGCGCCACTGGTGGCTGAGGTGAAGCCTGAGTTGCTTCGGACGCTTTGTGACTTTTTTGTGTTTGAGACGCCTGCGGACGTGCGGCGGTTTGAGGAAGAAGAGGAGAAACGCAGCTTGGCTACTGCTCGTGCAGCACCAGAGGATGGCAGCGACTTCGATCCCGCTGACGAAGACGCGGGAACCACAGGAGCAAACTCGAGCAAAGTGGCCACAGAAGTCGACGAGATGCGTAAGAACGAGTTTGTGGAGGGCCTACGGGAGACGGGAGAGACTGTTTATTCTGCTGCAGTGCAGCATCTCCCAGACTTGGTTCAACTGGACTTGTTGGTTGCCGCGCCCATTCTAAACTTAGATGGGAAGGGAGCAGGGAGCATAGCACTGCACCTGGGGACGCTCTCGCTGCGGTCAGATGGGGCGTGTCCCTACGATGCTCTCAGGGGCGTGCTGGAGTTCAACGAGACGCGGCTCATCTGCGCTCCCACCGGCCACAAGGAGGTGTCTATTCTCCGCCCTATCCCAATCCGCATGCATGTAGAGGTACTTAGAATGAAGGAAGTTAGCCTTAACATCCTTTTTGAGGAAATTTTTCTGGAGCTCACCCCGGAAGCCATCGGCCTTCTTATTGCAGTCCCAGCATCCATGGCGAAGTCCCTGCTCCAAGTGCGACCTCAGCAAGCGTCACTTCAAGAACAAACAACTAAAGCAGCAGCCGTGGCCGGAACAACACAGAAAAGGAAGGTCACGGGAGAAACTCTCGGCAGGAGCTCATCCATACAGTACCGGCAGTACGCACCCGAAGAAACGATAAGCAGTGCAGAAGCATCAGACGTGACAGCTGCACCGCAACGAGGAGCAGAGTCAGCGGCTGAAAGAAAATCAGAGTCTTCCCCAAGCTTGCCGGTATTCATACCCTCTGCAGACGTAGCACCGGCTACTTTAAAAGGAACTGAGGGGTCCACCAGTGGCGAAGGCTTTCGCCCAAACGATGGGGCTGATGAATGCATGAATCCAAGGAACAATAGCAGTAGCAGCGGAGTAGAGATGGAGCGAAAGCCTCAGATGGTTTTTACGTCAACCTGGCTATTCGGTCGTTGCGGGTTTCTGATAAGAGGACTGGCGGAAAAGGAGTCTGCAGCGGGAGGAGAGACTTGTCCCCCTGTGCTGCAGGCAGAGCTGACAGATCTGCTAATGCAGCTGACAGCAGATTCTTCCGCTGGAAAGTGTGGAGCTGTCGCGGAGCTTCATCAAGTCCTTGTTTCGGATCCGTCCACCAATTCACCCCTCTTTTTGTCCCTCCATTCATCAGCCGGCCTCTCAGAAAGCGTAAGGGGCTTGCAGGCTGCTGCAGCTTGCTTTTTCGGCTGTTCTTGCTACTCTTTCCCCCCTCCTGTTTGTGCTTCTGTAGCTGGCGTAGCAAGCGATACTGTTCTAAAATAAATGGCGTGCAACATTAAAGATTGAGGTATTGTTGCATGCGTAGTGTAGCTTGCCTTTGTTGCGTTTCTTTTGCCCCCTTCTGTGCTGCCAGTAGGTATCTGCTTAGGGAGACTTCCTGAGTGCATTGCCATGTCTTTTGCGCACTCTACACTTTTTTACCCTGGCTTCCCAGCCTTAAGCCGTTATAATTGCTGTTCACGACGGGAAGGACAGCGGCACTACTTTGTTGCACTGAATATTGCACTGATGCTCTGTTGTTGCTCAGACAGAATGGGGAACTACCCGCAGCAGCGCGAGTCTAGGGCGCTGCAGCAGTTTGGCCTTGCGCAGCGCCACGACATCAGGGGGAGGCATTGAAGACGAGGAGTTCCACGATGCAGTTGAAGACACTGAGAAAACCCTCCGCGTCGAATTGGAGGTCTTACTGGGTAGGGATAAGAGAACAGGCCCCACAAGCGCACCGTTGGCTGCTAATGAAAAACAAGCGGACACTCCGAAAGCAACCCTCGCAGTTACTTCACTTCCAGTAGAACTGCACTGGAGGCAACAGAGCCTACGACGCATTTTGCAGACGCTCGCTGACTACCGGCAAACCATTAGAAGCAGGCTTCAGCAGCATCTAGACGAACTCTCAGAAGTGTCTGCAGCTGCTCTGGGCCCCAGGGGTCTCTTATCGAGAGAAACGGTTGCAGCAGTGCACGACACGCTGCAAACTGTACAGCAGACGCTATCGTTTGGGAATGAGTGCGAAGGGACTGAGATGGCGGGCGATATTCAGCGGAGTAACAGTGGGAGGAGCCGTACAAACAGCGCCACTGTTAAAACGGCACGTATAGCTACTGGTGAACGTGACTGGTTGCAGAAGGGACTCGAAATCGGGGGTGAGCTACCACCGCTGACAGTTCATCGATATTTAGATGCAGCGAAAAATGCTCCCGGAGAGGAAGCGGCAACGAGCTCTAGAAAAGCAATGGAAGCGCAGAAGCAGCAGGTACAACAGCTGCTGCAGAAGCAAATGCCCCATGTAAGCCTGGAACTGACATTGACTTTTCGAGAAGTAGCGATTGCTTTTTATGAAGGGAGTAACACTGTGTTGGCTCGAATGGCGCTTAAGGGTTTAAGCTCCTCCAGCCGCTTCTACTCAAATGGAGATACAGAGACAAGTTTCTCTGTTGGAGACGGTGGCATTGTGTTCCGGGACAGATGCGTTTTGGGACCCCGTGCGGCTTACAGGCCCCCAGCCCACCAGCAGCAGCGCCGCTTCGCTAGCGGTACCTCACTGGGGTCTTCCGAATCGTCACATGGGATGCCTCCCGTCAGGCGTGATTCCTGTGAGACATCGCCAGCAGCATCAGCAGGAGTTGATGAGGCAGCGCAAGACACGCCGACCGCATCATTATTTACCGCACGGGTCCGTCAATATGGGGGACTTGATCCGGTGTCGGGCGCGCCTTTCCCTTATTCGATGTGTCTTGAAGGCCAAATGGAGCAAATTTGCTTTGTATACAGACAGAAGGATGTCTCGCGGACCCTCAATTATCTTAGAGACGGAATTTTCGATGTGTTCATTTCAAAGTCGTACAGGGCGGTCAAGGAAGCGGCGACAGCCTCGTATTGCCTCTTCGCACTAGACATACAGTCCCCTCTTTTTATCTTGGCCGAAGACAAGGAGGCAATCCCTGGATTCGTGCCGCCGCCAGGGTACAGAATGCCAAAGATACGCACTCGTACACCTACTTCACCTGCTAGCGCTGCTTCTGCAGCGTCATCAAAGATTGCTACAGCATCGAAGTTAGCGTCAGATTCGTCACAGATGGAAGTCGAAGTAGACCATTTGGGGCGTTTTATTGTCTTTGATCTCGGGAATCTCAAAGTGCGCAACGCATACGTCCCAGCAATTGCTAATCTGCAGCAGCATCGTGATCATACTGCTTCTGGTTTGTTGCGTCCTCCGCCTTTTGGTGGTGGCGTTTCTCTTTCTGTGAACGGCCATAGAGGACCTGCGGATACAGAAGGCGCTCAGGGAGACACGAATGAAGGGGAACAAGGTGAGCTTATCTTTTCGGATCTGAGGCTCGAGATGAGGGGCATGCAGATCAGTGCCAGCGACAACGGGCAAGATGCAGCAGCTGGAGGGTGCCTGCTAGAGAATGTCGAGGCCTGCATGTTATTTCGGAGTGCACCCACGTCTTTGTGCATTGAAGCTGAGACGACAGCATGGATGCTGCACCTTTCTAGACAGCAGCTGACTCTGATTTTTGATGTCATAAATGAAAATATTTGTGGCCAAGGCTACCTACCACCAGCCGAGGTGTTATCGGCCAGATCTGCAGACGCGGAGGACGGCGACGCTGCGCCCTATGTAGACGAAGGGGCCCTCCGGCGGGAGCTAGAGATTCCCCCTTTGGCCGTGGATTGCCTCATAGTCATCCCACAGCTTACTTTAGAGGCTTCGTATGGACCAGGGATCCCTCTGGCCTTGTTGTCGCTCCACTGTATCACTGCAAAAGTTGCTGCTTCCGTATCTCGGCTGGTCTCTTGCTACCGCTTCCTCCTCTGCGCCGAAGCCTTCAGCATCGATGACCTCCGTGCAGGCACGGCAAATTACTTCAAGCGGGTGGCCAGCTGCACAGCGCCGGTTGCTGGAGGTGGCTCAGATGGCAACGGTAATGAATGGGATTTGAAGGGGATACAACGCTACGTGGTAGCCGACGAGGAAGGATCAGCAATGACGGATGCCCGCAATTCATTCGACAGAGGCCAAGATGGGAAATCACGTAGACATGACAGAGATGGAAGTCCATCGATTGCCTCTCCTCACCCCACGAAGGAACCCAATCGAGCACGCAGAGTTCCTGGTGTGGAGTTCGAGTTTGGCTCATCTTTACGAGAGTCTTACATGGACTTTCAGTTCTCTGGAGTTACTGTGTATGTCCTCGTGGTAGCCTTCATGGACATCCTAAGCTACTTCACTTCTTCCTGGGCATTCAGTTCTATGCGGTCGTACCCTAAGCCGCTTCCCACTCTGCTAAAGGGTGCTGATCATCAGAATCAACAGCAAAGCAGGAGCGAGCGGGACTCTCGTGAGACTTCGCGAGACAACCGGGAAGTTCCGCTAACTCCGGGGAGTGCGCGTGGAGATGTGGTGTCTCTGTTGCTCTCTGGAGAAGCCTTGAGGGAGCGTCCGTTCCGGGTGTCCGTGAGCATTCAGAGGGGCTGCTTTGTTGTATATTCCGACCTTCAGTCTCCCTCAGCACCTGTCATCGTTTGGTCCAGCGATTTTCTTGTCCGCCTTAAAATGAAAGGAGATGAAACAATCTTCGAACGCGTTCAGGTATTGGGCAGCAAAATATGCCGGCTAGATGCATCTCCGCTCCCAAAAGTTCCTCTGAGATCGCAGTCGCATGTAGGAGTCTTTACGGGAACAGATGCACAGGAGGCCCAGCAGTCGCAAGACTGCCTGGCCGACCGTTCCCCACACCGAACGAGTTCAGACGTACACAAGCCAGCGATAAAGAATGAACCGAGGACCGTACGCTGGGGAACAGTCGGCCAGAGTGAAAGCAGCAAGAGCAGCAATGATGTTCGTGCTACTTTTGATGTTGGCTCGCCAGGCAGCATTAGGCAGCGGTGGGCGGAGGGCACCAGTAAATCCGAATGGCAGCAACGGGGACGCTGTCAGTCGCAACTGATGATGCGAGAATGGATGCAGTTGCAGCAACTCCAGCACCGCGCTTCGGTAGGAAACCCATCCGCGGAGCGCCTGACGCCGCGCACAGATTCTGCGAGCGCTGTGCTGCTTTGCGAGCACTTTCACCTTGAGGGTAGTGGCGTGTATCGCTCCGCGAGTGAGGCAGTTGACGACTGCCAGGAGCCTAAGCAGAAGCAGCAGCAGCAGGGAAATGGCCAGGCTGCGGATCCGATCAGTGCTATTCCGGCGCAAAGTGGCCGCGGCAGGATCCCAGCAGCAGTACACCGAATGCAGCAGTCGTTTTCTGCTGCTGCTGCAAAGCTGCCACCTCGCTCTATCAGCCCCGCAGGGATCAGACACGCTGCTATCGTCGGCGAATCGTCTTCTGCTGCATCGAAGCAACAGCAGGACAAGCGTACTCACAACGACGGAGATGGGGAGATAAGACACCAGCCAGCATCGGACCAGCCACAGAACCCAGGGCTTTACTCACCAGGGCAGGTGCAGCAACAGCAGCAGCAGCACCAGCATCGCCTAAGTCCCAAGGTGTTAGCCGACGAAGACCTACGAGAAGCTGAGAACAAGGGCAGGCGCTGCGTAATGACGTTCGTCGAATTGTCCTTCGATATTCCACGTATGCTTTTTCATATTACCTTGCTGATTCTTTGCTGTAAGTTTTGGGCTTAGTTCCATTTTCGTGCGCTCATCATGTGTGCGTTATTCGATGTTCTCAGTCTTTTACTTACGCGTCTCCAGCAGAGATATGGCGCTTTTGTTGTCTGCTGCCCGGTGTCTTCATTCTGACGGACCGAGCGTATGCCCCACCCAGCAGCCTCCCCCAATTCGCTTCCCTGAAGCATGCGCTCAGCATCAGCGGCAGCAACAGTTACAGCACCAAGACCAGCAAGAGGAGTCAACTCAGGCAGGGTCGGTGCAACCGCAAATTCCCTCTGTAGTTGAGAGGACAGCAAAGATCTCGTTGTGCTTAGAGGGTGCCCAGTTGTTGCTTCTCGACGACCTGCGCTCCTCAGTATTGCCGGTGTTACAGTTGCGGTTGTCAGCAGGGGGGCTTGTGTTTGACATAACTTCTACTCAGCTGCAAGTTGCGTTACGTGATTTCTGCTGCGGCCTTGACTACCTCAACGCCAAGGCTGGTTGCTGGGAGCCGTTCATTGAAAAGTTAGACGTCACTGCAGTGTACCGTCGGGACTACGCAGAGGAAAGGCAGCAGCTGCTGCAGCGACAGCAAGCCCAGGTGGGGGCTCTTGATGCCCATCCGGGTGAGGACCCGTGGGGCACCTTCAAGGCAGCCAGGACTCTGATGCTGCATAGCCAGTCACCGTTCTGGCTAAATATCACTCCGCAGTTATGCGAATTGTTCGCATGGTTCCTTCCGTATCTGTTGGCTCACCTCACAGAAGGAGGAGTCCCGAAGCTAGAGGAGAAGTGTCCTGAAGGTGTGGATGCCCCTCACACCAGAAGCCCTCGCGGGGTTCCAAGGAGTTTTTCGGTTGCGCCTCTCGTCCCGAGCACGGTTTCCATGCTACAGCATGAGGATAACGTATCAGTTGCTGCCCAGGATCAGCAGCATGGCCCCAGCACAGGTTGGACAAATTCACAGGATAATGAGAACGCTGAAGGGCCTGCGACTGTAGCAGTCACCCCACCTCCCGTTTCTTCCAGTGCTAGGGAGACTGAGGCAGCTTTCCGTTACTTGAACCTCACAGGCCAATGCCTCTACGCCTTTACAATGCAAAAGTTTGGCTCCAGAAGCTCGGGAATGGAGAAGGAGCAACACTCTAGCAGCAGCAACAGCAGGAGTGGACTCGTGAATAGAGTTGGCACGGGCAGGAGCGAAAGGCATGATGGACTTGAGAATCAGACAGTGAGCAGTTTGCTGCTGTTGGTGCCTGGTTCCTCCACCCCGCTGCCCCTTGACGGGCTCATGCAGAGCCGCACGGCGGAGGCATCTCGGCGGTCTCGCAGCCGGCAGCGTTTTTATATAACGAATTGTCCTCCTGTGGATTCAGTATTGCGGCTTAATGAGATGTTTCCGACGGTGGCGTTTCCAGCTATTAGCAGAAACGTCATTTCCTCCCAAGACGTTGAGGCAACAATGAGATTGCTTATTGCAAACGAGGAAATGAGGCGCAAAATTAGAGCCAGAAATCTAGCGTCTGTGTACTTAGGACAGAAGTCGCCCACCAGTGCCCCGGCAAGGGACTCTCCACTCGCCGCGTCTTCCGATGCGTCTCCAGCTAGAGAAATGCTTGTCGGGCCTTCTAACCAGCAACAACCGCAGCAGCAGGGTAGGGAGCTGTTAATGCCAGGGAGCCCTAAAGTTGCAACACGAACGACCAGCCGGCTCTCCGAAGCGGGCGTCGACCCGTCACCTCCAGCCATAGGCCCGTTTCCGCGGGGGACAAAAGCAGTCGCTGTGGATAGTATGCGAAACTGCTGCGTCACCTTGCTGCCTCCAGTCAGACACTCCATATTGAGTCGCCTCGTCGACACTGCGGCAGCAGCAGCAGCGCTGAGAGGCCCCGCTGGCACCGCTAACGTTGGTGCAACGGCGGCAGAAAGGTTTCTCGGCAATAGCAGCAAAACAGTGGGCAGCAGCAGTAGCAGCAGCAAATTCGCTTCTCGGCAGTTGCAACGGCTGCGTAGTTCGCTGACTACAAAGGATAGGAGGCCCTCCGGAATCTCTTTGGGCCCCTCTTCAAGTCAGGGATCCACGCTCGCTCGACAGTCCTCGGCAGCCTCCAACTCCATAAACGCTTTAGATGATTTCGAAGGCTCACAACAGCCCCAACAGTTGCTTGAGACGCAGCAACCTCAGCGCCAGATGCTGGAACAGCTGGACAGTTCGCTGGCGTCCGGACAGCAGCTGCCAACGAGGCGCCCTACAGGCCTGAATATTTCACAAGCAGGAAAAGAGTTTGAGAGTAGTGCTAGTGGGCCTCACACACGGTCACCTCAAAAATCGACTTCAGTCAGCATACCGCGACCTGTCTCAGGCACGTTCCATATGTTGCATTTACGTCTGATTTGAAGCTGTTTTTGTCGTGGGATGGCTATTCATGAACTTTACTTTTGTGTACGAAAACGCGGCTCTTCGTGTGTGGGCTACTTCTTTTGTTTGTACTGTTGCAGCTCTGTTGTGGCGCTTGTTTTCAGGGTTCCATGACTTCATTGACGCTGATATGCGGCGAAGGGGGGGTGGAGGAGAGTCTCCTCAGCAGAGAAGCGGGGAACAGTCTACAATGAGCAGCAGCTTCTCTGCTCCCCTTCCGCTTGCCCACGTCGATAGCCACAGCGAGGCCATATGTCAGGTGCTAAGCCCGCACCCATCCTATAAGTTGCTGCTGCTCTCTACAACTGTGATGCTGCACAACAGCAGCGGAATGCCCCTAGAGATTTGCTTTCTTGATGGCGAGCTCAACCCGCTGCTGCTGCCCGCCTCCCAGGGGGCTTGCGCTCCATTGGACGCGATTGGGGAGCCTTCCGTGGCTTCAAAACGCGGAGAACTCTCAGTTGAGGAGCCTTCATCTCTACACCCGGACTTGCAGAGAATCCCTGATTGGATGCTTCGGCGGGAGGAGCGGTGGCGAGAGGCGCAGCGGCTAGAGACGCTACAACAAAAGCAGCAACTGAGGCTTTTGCTTCAGGATGCTGCGACGAAGCCAGCAGGTCCTAAACCCACAGCATCCGCACCTCTCCGACGTGCCCTAACAGAATGGGCTCGGCTCGAGGCATTTACGAGGTCGCCAAGCTCGAGCATTTCTACACATCAGCAAGAAGCCCCTGAAGAGTGCGTCCTCGAACCGCCCACTCACAAACAGCTCATGGACAGGCTCACGTACACCTTTCTGTTACCCAATCTTCATCTCCTCTCCGTACCTCAGAGAGCTATTCTTGGACCCGGCTGGTGCAACGTTTGCTTTCGGCCTGCGGCTTTCGCTGAGGAACCTGCCAAAACTACACCGATGCCAGCACCGGCTGCAGCAACATCTGCAGAAACACCGTGTTCAGAAGCAGCTGCATCGGAATGCACAGTGACAGATGCTGCGGAGGTGATCTAAACTTCACTTTTGCTCTCACCCGTTGCTGGCCTATGGCAGCGTGCTGACGAAATTAGCCAGCGAGCTTATGCCTGAAGAAATATACTACTAAAAAGAAGCAAGGATAATTATCGCTGCGCACTCCTGAAAAGCATCACGCAGTAAAAGCAGCTGCTAATTGTGGAATCATCAGTGTGTTTTACTGCAACTATGGGTGCCACGACTTCATGCGCTGTATGTCACAGGCTGAAACGATCCCGACACCGCCTGACATGACTTGTGTTGCCGGATGGTGCGATCTCATAGACACGCGACACCGAATGGAGGGCTTGCGCTGCCGCCAGAGCGCTTACTTGCCCCCGAGGTTTCGACCAGGTGCAGCATCAGCATCTCAGATGCCGGGAACTCCTGTAGCTTCCGGCTCGGCTTCTGATGCGGAAGCAACTGACACTGCTGCAGGTGTAAACACAGTGCGAAATCTCTATTTCTTGGTGCACATTGAAGGGCGCAAGGGGGCACTTCCGGCTGAGAAGGAGCTAAAGAGAGTGACCATCTTTCCCTCGGTGACTTTGGTGAATGCGACCACAACTGAGCTCGACATCAACATTGCTCCTTCCTCTGCCACCTCAAAGTCTGGACGAAGACAACTCACAGTTTCGGCTTCAGGGATAAACAGGACAAATGCCGCACTACAGGAGCTGCATGCGCTGCAACAGAGGCCGTCTCTCAGCGCTACTCTGCGGAGGCGCTCTACCTTTCTTGTGTACGAGGTGCCGCCAAACAGACCGTTAAGGCTCCGTATGCGATTTGCAATGCTAGAGGGTGCAGAATGGTCCTCAGTTATCTCCGACTTGCTGAGCACTCAGGTATGGAGGAGCAGTGCTGCAACGCATAAAAGAGCTCGCCTGGGTCATGAATGACTAATCCATCTGGTTCAGTACTGCGCCGTTTTGCCTGCAATTTGACGGTGACAACAGCGGCGGCTAAAGCAAGGCGCTCGCATGAAAAGATCATCGCCTTGATTTGTGTTTGCTGTCTGCAAGCTACAGGACGAGGTCGTCAGCAGGGTCCTGTTACCGTCGCGTCACCACGCCTCAGCGGAGCTGGAGGTTCTTCATGACACGGCGGAGGTGATGCCGTTTTTACCCTTCGTATTTCCCCGACAGCTTGTTGCAGTTATATCTGCTCCTCGGAGCTTCATAGACCGTACAGGTCTTGGGGTTCGCCCTGTCCAGGATGGGAGATTTTGCCCAGAATTTGATGGTCAGAGCCTCCTGGGGGACTCCACTGTAAGCCTTGCCGTTGTTCATGTACTCTGCTCTATGATGCCCAGTTTCTTCATGAGTTTTTTCTAGTATGGTTCCTTTATTGGAGTACAGACTCTGCTCATTTCATTCTCCACTGTGGCCCCTGCCAAGTCGCCTCAGTCCATATAGCCCGTATTATATCACTCCATAATAATCACCACATTATTGATGTCTTAACTGTGGCGGTCTGAGCAGACTGCCGATGTCACGCTGTTGCTTCCAAGAAGAAGGGGCCTGGGACAACCGGTGGAGTGCCGCATAAGCGTCCCCGCATTAGGGGGTTACAGCCACGCGTCGCTGGAGACTGAAGACCGCTGCTACACTTTGCGTCTAAAAACGGAGAAGATGGACCCTTCCGAAACGGCAGGTGAGCCAGCACAAGGCTTTCGTTGGTTTAGGCATTGCTCAACTCTTTGACTATCACGACCAAGGCTTTGAACTCGTGTCAGTCAAATTCCATTCTGGCGACTCCATGGGCGTATGCAGGAGCGATCTGCCGAGTCGTGTCTCTCGTGCCAGAATTTATTTTGACAAATGCGCTGAAGATCCCTCTCTTCTTCCGTCAGTATGGCACCCCAGGGCCGGCCTTTGAGGGTACGATGCTACACACAATTTATAGTTTTAGTGGCCGGCTGCCTATCACTGTGTATCTGATTTTACAGTTGTTTGTGCCGTGTGGATATGATTGAGATACGTATAAGCGATGCTGTTAGTTTGCTCGAATATTTCACCTTGGTTCATAGAACTGTTACGTTTTGTTAATTCATTAATATGTCGCCTGTTTGCGCAGTTCACCCCGGACAAAGCTACCCTGTTTATTGGGCGAGCGCAGAGCTTCCTCAGGCGATTCAGTTCCGCCCTGGAACAAGCGAAGGCTACGCATGGTCTGGTGCGGTGGTTGCTAGCGAGGAGACGGCAGGGAAGAGCTGGATTGCTCTCTACAACGGCATGCGAGATGCAGCACCTGGTAGGGAGGCAGCGAAGCTGTGTAATGATTGTTCACAGATATTTGGATGTTGCGTTCGCCACAGGAATATGTGATAGATGGCGCCCGTGGTAAACGGCGGTGCGGATTTCCGTATGACTGGTTAGATTGTGTGAGATCTGATCCTCTGCACGCTTTGTTCAGGGGTCTTCTGCGTTGAAGTAGCTCCTGATGGAGGCGTGAAAAGTATTTGTATTCGCGGGGCTGAGGGGCATTCCGAAGGGTTTTTAGTCATCAATAAATGTCCTGTGATTCGGCGGGTGATGGTGCACACTTACCACTCTGAGATGAACTCCCAGGGTCAGTCTGCGGACACAGGAGGTGTCTCGTCTTCCTTTTCATCCTCCTCACATTGGACGAGACAGCCCATGAAGCTGCCTGATTTTGATTTCCATTTTTTTGCAAATGAAGGAGAGACTGTTGCCTACGGTTGGCCGTTTCCCTTTACGTACACGTCGCGACCGGTAAAGCTCCCACAGATTATGATCACTGGTTGCGCTGCAACTTCCCGTGAACACTGTCTGCTACTGCGCTAGTGTGACAGCTGGTAGTTTTCTTATGCCAATTGTGCAGACGGAAGTTTTTATTGCGCGCGATTTTTGTTGAACTTCTGTTGACCCGAAGCAGTGGTTCGGGGTCATGGCAGAGCCCCGGCTTAAGTGTCCATTCTGTTATTCTAGGCCAAGGCCACTTCGTGCTGCAGCTGACTGATGATAGCTGGTTTGAATGCGCTTCAGTGTCAAGTCCTTTTATGGATAGACAGTAAGACGGTTGCTCCCAGAAGTCCTATTCTTTTGGATCTGGAGACTCCCCAGTACAAGCGATATGAAGTAAATCTGGGCCTCCCTGATATGCCACAAATAATAGTGAGAACGGAGAAGCGAGGCGACGCAATGATTATTGAAGTGCGACCCAAACCAGGAACCGGCCCAGAGCGGGCAATGCTGCCTTCTTCTAAATCACAAGGAGTTGAGCCTGAAGTGGTAAGCTGCCTGTCATTTCGTATTCCCGCATCTCAAGACAGGCTTGCATTTTGATTCACAATGAGCAACTTTTTAGGATTTGGATACGAGCAGTGGGGGCCTTGGGCTACAGTTGTAAGTCGTAAATGCCCAGCAGTTGTTGACTTTGCTTCCTTGTAATGCACTTGATGGCATTACTGATGGCATTACTTGTGTTGTTAAAGCCGCTGAACAGCCTGAAGGAGCAACGCAGCCAGTTCATCAGCTTCTCTTGGTTGTTTTGATTTTGTTTGTCACTGCAGGCAGTTGAGAGTCCCTTGCGCAGTCTCCATGTAGCTCTCACTTTGGCACAGGTGGGGGTATCATTGATCTATGATGCGGTGAAGGAAGAGCTCTGTTTTGCTGAGCTGTCACAGCTGGCCATCGGATTTCAGGAGAGAGGAGAACGACAGAAGCTATTGGTCCGCATTGCAGATATTCAAATCGATAATCAAATGGAGCACGCGCGGAAGCCTGTACTTCTCGCCAATCGGGGCGGCGGTGCCCACAGCGCAGAAGATGTTAGTCATGCAGTTCGCATATAAATATGGGCTGTCTAAATACAGGCAAATCAGAAGCTGGAAAAGCTTGCATGACACGACCAGTGGATCTTGAAAATGCAGAAGGAACGTTCACAAATTGAAGTCATTTTCATGATTTGCTATTGGTTTCGTCGTAGTGGTGTTGCACAACTCTTCAGTTAGTATCCTCAGGAGATCGCTGCTCCTCCATCCAATTAGCATCATTTGGTTCAGGTGTCTTCTCCCTGCGTTCACTGAACTTTTTGCCTGCAGCCGTTCTCAGCTCAGAGTGCATCGAAACCCTTTTTGAGCCTCTTCGTTGTACGGCACCACACGACCAGCAGTGACGTTATCTTGCGTCGTGTCCAACTCGAAATGGACAACTTAGAAGTGGAAATAGATGCCGACGCGCTCAATGGACTCAACGTAACCACTCACACGGCCCACCCGTCTGCCAACAAGCCCTATAACTGGACGGAACGGTTTCCACTGAAGTAGTATCTTCTGCCAGGCCATGCCAGTTTTAGAAACCTTAGATGTATAAAAACACGGCGTAGCACGTGGTTTGGTACATCACTGCAGTAGGGTGGCGTGATTGTCCTTCAGGATTTCTTGTGGGCCTGTATGACGTCGCTAGGGCTGATGAGTGCGGCTTCCCGTCGTACTGTTTCGGCGGAGGAGCTTGAAACTTGGATTGAATCTCCCATTCATCAGACTTACAGCCCTCCGCCCTTGCCTACCGTGTTGTCCTTAGAATCCATGCTTATAGACAAATTCGACGTTTTCTGCTGGTGTTCCTTCGTTCTCGATAAAATGCACATGCTGTCTGACCTTCTGAAAGTCGGTTTGCGCATATTGATGGCATCGGGACGACTAGAATTGATGGTGAGCAGCATGTGGGTGAGCGGTGCCTTGTGGTGGCGGCGTGCGCTCAAGATCGCGCTCGTGAAATTGCAACTGTGCTTGTGAATGTACTTTATATGAAACTATGCTTAGGCTGGGTAGTAGGAAGGCTGTCCTCTGCTTGTACGTGGAAGAGGCAGTGAATGAAACAGGCGTGCTACTCGTAGGCTTTATGTGTATGAAGTGCTTCCACAGGGGGCGAAGTTGAATTTTCAGCGAGAGGAGTTCAGGAATCTGCGCGGGACAGCCAAGACATTTGCAGCATCGTTGCAAGAGCGCTACACCTACCATCTGTTGAATTCAGTTTTTTCCTCTCTGGGGCAGAGTTCGCTTTTTAATCTGCCGCGTATGCCATTCGAATTCGGAAAGAACACCATAGGTTTGGCAGCAAACGCAGTGGACAGCGTAAGTGCTGGTCTTGGAAGTTTGCTGTCAACTTTTACTTTTGACTCGGAATATATCAATCGGCGGCAAAGAGAACGCGTTCGGAATACAGCGAGCATGCGTGACGGATTCTTGTCAGCTGGGAAGAATATTGGGGAGGGTGTCTGGTCTCTGACGAACATCGTCACAAAGCCCATCGAAGGTGCTCAGCGAGAAGGCGTGGGTGGGTTCTTCAAAGGCATTGGGAAGGGTATCGTGGGATCCCTTGTAAAGCCACTTGATAAGGTGGGCCAAGCTGTCTCGGATGTTACGCGTGGCATTAAAGCTGAAGTTTCTAAACCAATCGGGGCTTCGAAATTCAGAAATGAACGCAGGCGGAAGCCTCGCATGCTTGGGGAGCTTGGGGAAATAAGGTAAGATGACTCTAGTATGTAATGTAGCTAGTCAGATTCTATATTCCTCTCATCAGCGTCAAGTGACCTACACCCGAACCAGACTACTGGCTGCTTGCCTCACGGTAGGACTCCAGTTATTTACTGTGTTTGGTTGGCAGGAGCTTACTGCCATTCTGGTCATTTGCAGCCTTTGCTTTGCTGTTATTTGTAATCCAACATGCAGGCCATACGATGAAACGGAAGCTACACTGCGTGAATGCCTTGGCCTAGCTGTGACGCGCCGTCTGCAGAAGTTTGTAACTGTTTTGAAAGAAGAGGCATTACCGCCTCGCCACTTCGTGGTTCTGTTCTATCCCAAAGACGTCTTCTTCGTAGATCTAACTGATGCCCCCCAGGTTGCAGGTGGGCATCAGGTTGGGGATGAGTCTGAATCAACTCGAGACAAGAGCGTGAACGTCCTTTGGCACGCCAGCATTCCGCTGGTCCGTGACATTCGGGCCAGTACTCACGGAATTATCATCCGAGCAGGTCAGCCGACGACGCACAGGCCTAAAGATGTCTTGGCAGCTCTCAGCAGCATCGACAGTTATCAGAAGTGTCACCGTGCCCACGTTGGGACCTTGCGGCAAGTGGAGGCTCGCGGAGATCGGTGCTTCCAGATCCCTTGTTCTTCAGCCGCCCTCATTTCTCAGCTGTACAGAGAGCTGCTGGAGGCTGTGCATGGCTCAACATCCGTCGTTCAGCTTGGCACGTGGGATGCTCAGAGATATGCGGAGACAGACAGCGACTCATAAGCAGGAGATAACGGTATGTTCACAGGTCGCAGCGTCGTCTGAAAATGTGGCTGGCTCCTTGCGACAGTCACTGACAAATTTGGTCACCTAAGAGAGACGCTCTTTAAAGGCTTTTTCGCTCCCTTGCTCAGTAGTGCGCGTGCACGCCTTTGAAGTGGACCCGTTTTCTGATTTTGTCGTTTTCGGAAATGGAACAGGCAATGAATTCGATCACGAAAGGCGCATCGTTCTTTTTTTAGATAGGCGAATAAGTAGACTGCGCCGTACAGTCATGAAGGACCCACTGTAGCGTATGACGACCCTCACGGCGTTAGCTGAGATATGGCGATATCCGTTTTCATTATGCCGAACATGGGAAAATGCACTCATGGACACAGCTCTACAGGCCAGCGGCTATGGACCACAGCAGAGTGGGTTTGATTCCCTTTCAGCTCGTTGTGGCCGTTACACTGGAAAAAATGCAGGCATTGCAGCAACGGGTATCGGGATGCAAGAGAAGCCGTTTTTTAGTAGCACCGCATCTGAGTCGGAAGGGTTCGGTAGTGATAAGCTGACCTTGGATGTTCCCGTGCAGTCATGGGTAACAGGACCTGTGACTTGGCCTTCAGCTATGTTTCTTTGTTGCCACGCTAGCTGAGCGCTACTGGGTGCAGGCCGTACTGCACTTATTGGATATGGCCACGAGCCAAGAGGTATTTCCTGCTGAAGTGGCGTCACGCAATCTTCCTGTAGCCGAGCGTCGCTGCAATGCCTGTCAATGTCGAGGATGCACTCGTCTTGCTCTGGTGTGGTTTTATATTCAATCTTGTGCAGAAGCACGCTCTCAGAAGCAGCTCCACCTAAGGCGAAAACACCGCATGTTTAGAGAGTTGGCAATGCAGTTATCTCCGACAAAAAGCATTTATTGAGCTATCTGGATTTCCAGTGACTTAGCTGGACGGTCTTTACAAAATCTCACCCGAGTATGTTGGTTTCGCATGAGGGGGTGGGTGTAGTGAAGGAAAGCCCATCTCTTCTTCGTGCAGTGCAGCTGACTGCAGGGCGTGTGCCTGGCATGTTGGAGCTTCTCCCACAAGTTGCTGGTGGGCATTGGCTCCAGTGGGGGAGGGCTTTGGATCCCCATTAGAACGGCGGCCAGGAACGCGGACGGGAGCCTCAACTGACGAGGGTGGCCCCGGTACCTGGCGAGTGGCAAGCCTGCCAGCAACGAGGGAATCAGTGCCTTGCTGCCCATGTTTGCGGCATGGCAACTGCCGCTGCCGCTGGACCTGAACGGTGCAAAAAAAAATTACCGATTAGGCCTTAGCGGTGTCATCACGACACCTAGTGTTATTTCCACAATTAATCTACAGGGGAACCAGATAGCCGATTCTGACCTCTGGGAAAGAAGGAGGGCTATTTGGATGGGCCCTAGAGTGGTTCGACTCCATTGACGGCTGAGCGAATGCAGTAAGAAGAGACCCGGAGGTCGTGCTAGCTCAGCTGCTACGCTTATTAACTCCCACTCGAGACAGAACAATATGATGGGCCAACAGAAAAAGGCCAGAGAAACAGAAGGCAGTAACTGCTGCTTATAGTGTTGCGAACAAACGCTCGTGATTTGCTGCCTGCTGGCTTATGTGCATCAAACTGTTCTGGAAATGATTCCTAGTGCCTAATTTTAATGCAGCCTACTTACCCGGGGGATGAAATCGCACGCCGGACTCGCATCCTTTGCAGACAGAACAGGCAGAAGCAGACTTTATTCTGATAAGGCTCGACGAGGTACAAAATAATTAAGTGTCTCAAGGATACTTAGGCAGGCAGTTAGGCATGCCGCGGTGGTGCAGATGCGGCAGTTTCAGGGAATTTACCCGCACCAGGGCTATACTGGGTTTCCAGTCAGAAATAAGGTACTCCTTGGCAATTCCACAGAGCAGCTGCTGAAGATCGAACTCCAGTGGTGGCGCAAGTGACAAGGCATGCACGAGCTGCGCATGCATAAGAAACAGGCTATAGTCTGCATACTGTTTAGAAAAGGCGTAGCGTAATTTTTTTCCATACCGTCACTAATGAAACCTCACTTTGAAGTGTACTTCTTGCTTTGCATTCTTCACGGCGGCCTCCACGAGGGCCTCCCCATACTTCACTGCAAACTGTTTCCTGACGGCCGCTAATTCGTCGATACCTGCAAGAGGTTGTTAACATTTGAATGGGTCAATTGGGACAGATTAAAACCTGGTGCTGTCAGATCGTTAAGCTTGAGCCTAGTTGCTGCAGAAGCGTGCCAGTGGAAATACTGCTTACTTAGCCTTGGCTCACAGTACAGAAGGCTATGAATCGGGGAAAGCAAATCAGGAGGACAGATTCTCTCTGTTGCCAAATAGCTCTGCGGAACACAAAAGATCATCAGCTGTAAAGAGGATCACAATTTTCTCATATTTGTTCCAACTTGCATGCACGCAGGTACTGATGTTGCCGCAGATAATGAAAGCTGCATCCGAGGGTATCGTAGCCCTCACTAGTCTTGAAATAAGCAGCTCGCAGACAGTCACAAGGATCTCCATTGCCCTCTCTAGCCTGTACTCGCGTAACAAGTGTTCCGCCTTTAGCCTTGCACCTTCTTCTCTTCCCTCCCTGCCGACACAAATTCAACATGGAATCCATCTGCAGTACAGTGGACGATAAAGTTCCACTTTAAATTCTACTGTCGTCTCGTCAATTTTCTTTTACAGCTCCCTTAATATGCGGAACAAGGATAGCATACCGCAAGAAGCCAGCAATTTCCCTGCGCTGCAGTCGAATCGAATTCTGAAGCCTGTTAGTGCACATGCGAGCTGCAACGATCATCTCACAATGATTCACACGAGCAAAAGAGCCTGTTACCTGGAGGGATAGGACAGCAATGCTTCGACTTTTCTTGGGTGTACTTCTGTCTGCGGCACTTTGTTCTTTAACGACTTGGCACTGCTTCTGAGAGTTCGTGAACCTCAGTACAGGTATGATGTGGTCTTGCTGTTTCGAACAGGTATGAGAGGGATTACCTCTACTGATAGCCATCTTCAAGCTTGCCTTGCACACTGCTTTGTCAAACCTTTCAAAGGGCCAGCGCATCTTCATATTAGTCGTAAGTCGTCGAGATTGGTTGATTCGGCGCTTGACAAATCAAATAAAGCAACTTTATCCACTTTCTTTCGGCGAGAAGGCCAAGAGAGAGAAGAAATGAATGTGAATATGTCTTCTCCACAGATGTCCAGTGGAAGCACCGTGGTACCTGCTGTGGTCATGCAGTTACAAATCTAGATAAAAGGCTATGGGATGCTTGCTACAAGGCGAATTTAATTTTGGAAAATTGAAACAAATGCATTTGCCGTGAATGGCCGCAGAGTAAGTACATATCTTGCAGAGCTGGAAAGTGACCTGGGGCTATTCCACAACAACCCCACTCAATGAACTCACACCCTTCTATGGGTTCTCAGGATAGTTTATACTATTATGCATAACTAGAAAGCGAAAAACCTGAATCAAGAACGGAAGACTTTCTATGAGGCAAGACTACTTAGCCATATTCCCGCTGGTCATTCCAGGCGTTGAGCTGCTACCGTCTGATGGGGGTGTCAAAATAAAACTCTTAACACGATCTAATAGTGAATCCTCTGGAGGAAATGTAAAGCGAAATCTACTTTCACAGCAGCGATTTGTAAGTGAACAATAAATTATGCGGAAAGAAGGTGATACAATTCAAGTCCATTACCGCCTTCTTAGCTTAGTCGGTAGAGCATTCGCTTAGTAAGCGAAAGGTCGCCGGTTCGATTCCGGCAGGAGGCTTTTCAGGAAATGCCCTTTGTAGTCTTCCTTAATCTTTTGCCTGCCATTTTCCTTTTTCAGGAAATGTCCTTTGTTGTTTTCCTTTATTACTCGTCTTTCTGGCACTGACCTTTTATTTCTTTCAAGGTCTAATAATTCATCAAACGAGGCGTATCTCCGCTGCTTGCAGGCTGCCCAGTTGTCCTTCACGTCAACATTCGTGGCCTCCTTGCTTTTCTCAGTATTGACGGTTATTATCTCCTTTAAAGTAGTTATATTTCGCTAGCTCAGAAGAACCCCATGTTCATTAAACATAGTAATATCAGTTCATAGTACAGAGAACTCCATGAAGTGAAAGAATTACGAGAAACCCCCATATTCATCAAACATAGTAATATCAATTCGGAATACAGAGAACTCCATGAAGTAGAAGTTTATGCTTGCTGGGTTTCGGAGTTGGACTCTGCCGCCTCGAGCGAAAAAGTTTAAGGGGGGGATCCGAGGGAGCTCCAACCCCTACGGCACGCCCGGATGTCGGGCCAACCATCTTCACGCGTCTGTGTAAGCCCATGGTGTTACTACCGAGTGCGTATGTATGCTGTCTTGGTGTTCTATTAGTTCATTAGTGTTTCATACAACTCATGTGGAGGCACGAGAGCGGCCCACTCCTCTTGCTCGCCTCGTGCCATTATCTGCCAGGTGAAAGCCCTAAATACGATGGCTCTGGCGGATACAGTCAGTGCTAATTTCGCGCTGTACAGACCACGCTGTGCGTTCATCGAGTCGCAGGTCGTGTGTAAGCACTCGTTTGTTTTCCTGTGCAATACACCCAAGGGACCCATACACTAATACTTGCACTGGCACTTCGTACCCACGTTTCTCGATGAAACGTCTTAAGGCTTTGATACTTTTCTTTTTTGTGGAGACGAGCTGCGCCAAACGAGTTCTTCTGGTAGTTCTCATACACAATAGCTACATCAGCTATCGCGATTCGCTTGTGCTTCTCGTGCCTGAGTATGATGTCCGGCCTTAGGAGGGTTTCCATATCCGCTAGACTGCTAGCTATTTGCAAGGTCTTCTCCCGATTAATCGCGCTGCTTCTGAGTGCTGTTGTAATCCTCTCCAGGGCCTTGTTATGTCGTTCTTTGATTCTGCTGTCAAGGCTGTGAGGACAGTGGTTGAGCGCGTGCGCAAGTGTTTCGGGATCTGCAGTGCAGTGGCGACAGCGAGATACCTTAGAAGCTTTAATCTTCTTGAGGTATGCTCTTGTGAGAAGTTGTGCAGAGCGTGCTCTCAATGCAACGGCGACGTCCTCCGGCTTTAGCCTGGTTGGTCCCCGCAAGAAAGCATTGCTGGCTGCTGTTTGGTAGGCCACGGATTTCCCTTGGTCTACCTTGTTCTTCCACACAACACGCTGTTGCCCTGCCATGTCTTGCTTGATACTCCTAATGAGGTGCTCCTAATGAGGTGCTGCTGGTCTAGATCAGAGCCGTCTGCCGTCTTCAGCAGGTAGCTGCCGTCACTCCCAGTCTCGATTCGCGTTTTGCTAACCGATAGACTTCCTGGAAGCTCTGACCACAGGCTTCTAATCGCCACCTTCTTGCTTCTCCTCTTGAGGCAGCCAATATCACTGTCGTTGAGGTAGGCAAGTATTCCTGCTCTGTCGCTATCGTCGCTGTCGGGTGTGTAAACGAACGCCCGTTTGATTATTTCGAGCACTTGGCCTTCTGCAACTGCGCGGATCATGCTATTCGTGCTGTTCAGCATCTAGGTGGCATGCCCTATCTGCGTTGCCGTTGCGATCGTCTGGGTTGCTACATCCCCAGCACTCCATTAGAGGTGGGCTGGTGAAACATCTCTGTCGTTAGGCTCTTCGAGAGCTTGAACACCGTCTTTAGGACTGCGCGTATGTGACGATCAAACAGTTCCAGGTATAGGGGTAGCAGTGCCTGAGGTGGTAGTCAAGCCTGGATATGACAAAGGTGCGCACCGCATCCAACTTTTGCTAGCGGAGTAGCTGGGACCGCATGAGCTTGGACAACCAAGACCGACTGCCTGCTGACGACTCAGGCAAAGCAGATGCTTGAAACCTGCAAATCCAGCAGCGCGTTCTAGGCGTAGAAACTGTGTGAATGATCCTTCCGCAGGTTCACCTACGGAAACCGTGTTACGACTTTTGCATCCTTTAGAGGGCTCTATTTACGCAACTTCCCGACCATCCCCACAAAGTAAGGCTTGTCCGTCCGATGAGTTCACAGGACCCTCTGATCGGTTGCAGCGACGGGCGGTGTCCTTAAGACGCTCTACGAGGAGCGTGGGTACAAAGTGTCGGTACAAGCATTAGTATGTGGGTCCCTTGGGTGTATTGCACAGGAAAACAAAAGAGTGCTTACACACGACCTCGGACTCAATGAACGCACAGCCTGGTTCGTCCAGGAAGAAATTGGCACTGACTGTATCCGCCAGAACCATCGTATTTGGGATTTTCACATGGCAGATAATGGCACACGGCGAGCAAGAGGAGGGGGCCGCTTTCGTGCCTCCACATGAGTTGCGTGGAACGCTAATGAACTAATAGAACACCAAGACAGCACACACACCCACTCGGTAGCAACACCATGGGCTAATTTACAGACGCGTGAAGACGGTTGGCCCGACACCCGGGCGTGCCGTAGGGGTTGGAGCTCCCTCGCATCCCCCTTTTAAACCTTTGGGCTCGAGGTGGCAAAGTCCAACTCGACAACCCAGCAAGCACATTGACGGGTGTCGGGTCGTCACCCCAGCAAGCAGAGTGCTTGACGGATACCGGATCGTCATCCCAGCAAGCAGGGCTTGCCAGGTGTCAGAGGTATCGGACCGAAGCCCCAGAAAGCAGAGTGCTTGCTAGGTGTCGGAACGGCACCCCAGCAAGCAGAGTGCTTGCTGAGTGGGACCGACACCCCAGCAAGCAGGGCGCTTGCTGCGTCGGACCGACACCCCAGCAAGCAGAGTGCTTGCTGGGTCTCGGACCGGCACCCCAGCAAGCAGATTGCTTGCTGTGTCGGACCGACAACCCAGCAAGCAGAGTGCTTACTGGGTGTCGGATTGGCACCCAGCAAGCACAGTGCTTGCTGCGTCGGCTCGACACCCCAGCAAACACAAAGTGCTTGCTGTGTAGAGACGCTGGCCACAGCAAGCAGAGTGCTTGCTGCGTCGGCTCGACACCCCAACAAGCACAAAGTGCTTGCTGTGTAGAGACGCTGGCCCCAGCAAACAGAGTGCTTGCTGCGTCGGCTCGACACCCCAGCAAACACAAAGTGCTTGCTGTGTAGAGACGATTGGCCCCAGCAAGCACTCGGCTTGCGGGGTGGCCAATCCGACAACCAGATAGTGCTCGCCGGTTGTCTCAGCTGCATCCCAGCAAAAGTTCCTCAGGGACTTTTGTCTGATGGGATTCCCAGCTAGCAAAACGTTCCCTAGGAAGATTGCTTGCTGGCCCTCGTTGCAATCCATCCCCAGAACCCAGCTCTTAAAAATTTTTATGTCCTTTTTTGCTTTGCTCATGACTCGAAGGATTTGTCCTTGGTGCACTGGGGTCGCCAGTGCGTCCTTCAGTCCCAGGTATTTGCATGCCTCCCCGAGCTTCACAACTGGCAGGACCTCCACCACCTGATGAAGGTTGCTGATGCCCGCCCTGCTGCTAACAACAACCTTTAGGTCATCTGCGTACGCCATGTGAGAGACCTTTACACGGGGCTTTCCATTGGTCGTACGTAGTTCGACGCCCTCGCAGGATAACAACTGCTGTAGTAGTGGCTCAAAGGCAAGATTGAAAAGGATGGGGCTGAGAGGGCAGCCTTGCTTGACTTTCCTCGTATTCTCTATTCTGCCTGAGCAGCCCTCCTGCGTTGATATGCAGAAGCTCGCTCCTCGATAGAGATCAACCAACGATGATCTCCCGGACGTGCTTCGGGAGCCGTTGAGTCTTCAGGACAGTGTGTATGAGCTTGTGGGGGATAGATCCAAATGCGTTCTTCAAGTCGTAGTAGGTCATGTACAGCGGCTTCTTGCCCCTGCGAGTGGAGTTTAGAATACTTTGGGCAAGGACTAGATGCTCGTGGCATCCGTTTATTGTCATGAAACCCTTTTGCGACTTGGAGGCGGCCCCCGACCGTATTGCCCAGACGGTGATCCTAGTGGCCCACAGCGCTGCGTAAAGTTTTTATATGCAGTCCTGTAGATCGATGGGTCGCCAATCCTTAACGCTATTTGGGTCTCTTCCCTTCGGAAGCAACACCTCACACTTTCCTTCCACTTTGCTGGCACTCCAAGATGCCGGCAACAGGCGTTGTACATCGCAGTAAGCGCTGGGACAAAAACATCTTCAAACCGCTTGTACACGAAGAACCTTATCCCAATCATAGAGCACGGAGAACTCCACGAAGTGCATGAACTACAAGAAATCCCAGCAAGCCTCCTGCCGGAATCGAACCGGCGACCTTTCGCTTACTAAGCGAATGCTCTACCGACTAAGCTAAGAAGGCCTGACGGTCACCCCCAATCTTCATGTAGTCTACCCTAAGCTAAGCTTGTCAACTCAAAAGGAAGCGCTTGGGCACTGCGTGATTTAGTCTATCCTAGGCTTGTCAACTCAAAAGGAATCATGTGACCTCAAGGGTCTCCAGCCTAGACTTTACCTATACAAGGATATTATCAGGCCGTAATGCTAAGCATGCAACACAGCAGCAAATTGGAGTCGCCAGGTTATTCGCTGCCTTTGGCCTTGCGGCCGTCCCCAGCGCGACCAGTGGCCAGCACAAGAACAGTGTAGTTCTGGAGTAACACTGGGCCACTCAGCGTCTCAGGAGTTTTGATGCACTTCATGAGAAAAGGTGGCGCAGCTTGAAATCGTCAAATGAAACTTGCCACGGCAAAGCGTTTCAGTGCAAGCCCCTAGAAATATTTCTCAGCATGCAAATAAGTATTGCGGTTTCTCATGTTACATAGGACGTGTACCAACGTACTGATGCTACGCTGGAAGGTGAAAAGACATAAATCTCCTTATCAGTATTGAGATCCTACACCCAGCGTTATACCGACACGAGAAATGTATACTACAGCCAAGCAAGGCGCGCCGCTCTAAGCCAAGACAGCAGAGGAAAGAAGGCACACGCAAGATAGCACTTCCCCAGTCAATGTGGACCGCTACTACTTCTGCAGGTTTAGTACACTAGTGTGGCCTCGATGCCACCAAATACACTCTAAGAGCACAGAGTTCTGATGCGGCTTGGAAACCGGCCGCAAAAGAAAAGCGCAGCATGTAGCAGCGTCTGTTGCCTTCAGGAAAGTATCTCCAAGCCAGACCATGCATACATCCGTAAGTACCCTAAATCGCCCTCACCACCACCACTAGTAACAGTAAGGCATCGCAGAGTTGATGCAAGCATGTCCCGCTGGCGAGCAGGGAGGCGCTCGTAGAACTTGATGCCCCCACGGCTCTAAATGTGTGCCCTAAGATAAAACATCGAGCTTGTTAACAGATTTTGAGGAATTCGTATGTCCTAGAGAGTGAATAGGTTGGGCACTGCGAGCGTCCCTTCCTTGCACTCGCTTAAGAATTACATTGAATGACACAAATTTGTTACATAAATAATTGAGTTGTTTTTCGCACTCGTGGAAAGTTTGGGCCTTAAACCGTGACGTGTGTCACACGGCGAATTTTTGGCGGAGCAAACAAGCCTTCTGTTGCCGTCCTTTGGCTCCCTGCCATTCCTGAGAGTTGATGAAGAGGATCTGTAAGCAGCAAGGGGAGACGCATCAGAAACATCAGCAGGCATTGCAGCATCCAGTGAAGCACGCCTGCATGAAGTAAGCCAAAATTTTGGAGATGCAAGCACTGATTCACGTTGTAATGCAGTTAACGAAGCAAAGGTTCCTGCGTAGTGTGCGCAGACGGGGCAATAGCACTAATGATTGCAGTGATAGGAGATGAAAAACGTAGGAGAAAAGACAAAAAGTTTGCGCCGTCAAGCTTGCCGTTTCAATAAAATGTAAGAATACCTAGCATAAACGTGATATTTGCGCACAAGTTTCAACGACTATGGTACAGAAATAGCTGATATAAAGGCGACTAGCCAAAGCAAAAGCTACACAATGAATGCAGCCCTATACCACTTGTCTTCTCACCTTGGAAACACCAAGGGCTCTGAAAGCTCTTAGCAACAAATACTTGTATCCTGTGCTGTAATTTCTCATTGCATCTTCAGGGGTGGCGTTGAGCGATAGCCCCTCAGTCTCGAGCAGGAGCACCAGCGGTACTCCCTGGACCCAAAGGCACACCTCAGACAGCGGCCACTGATGCCCAAACTCCGGCGCAGCTGATTGAATGGCACCTTCCCCTGCTACACTCCACTTAAGTGTAGCATCGCTTGCCGCAACTGCAGCATACGGAAAATACCAGAAGTGATAGCAGCAGCTGCAATTGCAGCATCGGCAGCGAACAGGACTCGATGAATCGAAGACGCGCTGGTGTGTAAGGCGAAGCATGATAATGACCAAGAAAACGCAGCCCACAAATATGAGAAAGTATCTGCTTATTTGTGCGAAATAAATATGTGTTTTCATATCATTAAAGAACCAGAGCCCTTAAGACAAAAACACAAGCAGACATAGCAAAAAGAAAATAGAGGTGCACAGACTCAGAGAGAATGTCACACACATACGCACACAGGCGCAGAAACGGCACATAGCGATTGGAAAGCCACTACAAATACTGCCCTTTATCCTTCACCTTTAACCTCTTCAAGAAACTCCCGAAGAGAACTTTGTCTGCTCCCTCTCCATCTAATAACAGCACCACAATAAGCTTTAAAGGTTTGTTGTTGCTGCTGCTCCAGCGTTGTTTCCAACTGCGGTGCCTCAAGCTGCAGCAGCCGGCAAACCTGCTGCAGCAGAATTGCAGGATCGCAGTGGTTACGGTATGTGATGCAATCAAGAGGAGTTAGAGTGAAGCTGTCTTCGCTCGTCGCTCGTCTTGCGGGCGCAGCAAGATCCCCTGGGGTCACGTCCGAACGTTTAGCAGCAGCGTATGAGCCACTTGTGCTGTTTTGCTGTACTGCCCTTATCACAGCAATGTCTCTTATGCACCACGGCGCAGGTCCACCAGCAGCAAACTCGGAGGGGGCTACTGCTGCCACCTGGACTAATTGTTGGTCTAGGGAGGGGACCCCCTCATCTGCAGCAACGCAACCATGGAATCTGAGCGGCATCTTCGCCAAGGCCATGTTCAGAAGGTTGGAAAAGAAAGGCTTATGGTGCATCTCCGCCACGAGAAACGCCCAGCAAAGATGTGACAAGAACAGCGGCTCCAGATGTCTGCAAGAGAATGGCACAGAGGCACGGACCCAGGCGACATTCAGCTTAGCTAACCCTAGCGACGATGCACGAGCACAGGGTGAGTCATGCGGAACTCACACAAAACTACGCAATAAGGGAAGGCTCACGTTGCCCAACAAGGTAAGCATTCAAGCACGTCTCACACAGCACCAGCGACAGCAACAGAAGCCGCATGCATAAGCAACCGCACCTGTCCGAAGCAAGCAGTCCCGACGCCGGTTTCCTTCTGTTGTATCGGCTCTCCACGAATCGGAATGCACGAGAGAACAACACTGGGTGTATATACACCGCAACAGACAAAGGGAAAACGCAAGTCATAGCGTCTCTCAGACTTCGGAATAAATTTGGCTCTCCCTCCACGCTGCTGCACCACAGCTTCGGCAAATGAGAAGCAAACAACAGAAATATCGGTTCAATGAACTTTCCTGCCCATGTGAGTGCGGCGACTAGCGCTCCTGCAGACGCTGGCAAAACTTCTGGTGAAGAGCTTAACACTGTTGATATCACGTTTGCTGCCATTGGTGTCGCAGCTCTACGCGTTAATGCGAGCTTTATGGGTGCACAGTGTGGTATTGGGCCATTTTGATTCCCTAGCATTACTAGACCGCAACCATTTTACATTACACACACATGAACATGAATCCTGCCTAAGGGGGCACCTGGACTATTGGCATGGGCAGAAAGGAAAGGCGCGTAAGGGCCTGTATGAACTTAAGTCTCTGGAGGACGCTCAGAGAATCGATGAGACTAGACCTGCTGTAACTTGCGACATTTCTGCAGCTGTCGCTGCTTATGTTGCCTCCGCTGCAGCTGCTTCTGCTGGAGTTAGCATTATTTTGGGTCCTGCAGATACTGTCGGAGATGTGCTGCAACAGCAGGTGAGGATAGTGGCCCTCGACTCTGGAAAAGGCATCGAGACAAATAAGCCACAGGGTGAAATTGACGCTGTATTCAATCTCTGCAACAGCAGGCACACACGTTAAGCAGCGGCTACAACTGGTTATGTCCTCACAGCGAAGGCCTCAGTTTGAGCTGCAATATATTCTTGCAAAGCACCCCTTCTTCTTGCACTAAGCCGGTATCTATCTTGCTTCCTTGCTTTGAATTCGTGTGCTAGCCTTCTAGCAGCTTACTCCGTATCTTTGTCTCGGCTTCTGCCTTATTTTGCTTTTCTGTGTCCCGGGCTCCCTACGTGTCTACAAAAACTGCTCTCTACAATCTGGGTATTTATCTGCTTGCGCGCGGTCCTTCGTATCTGTCTAATTTTGTCGTTGTCTGTCTCCGTTCGTCTCTATGCTTGTCGTTTTTCGTCCCGTGGATGTCTGTGCCGATCTTGTCTGCCTCTGCTGCTACTCACGCATCCCCGGCTGTTGCACCGTGTTTACGCCACCACTGTTTGTTCTAACGTCCTAAGGCGGCCCTGTCCAATTACTACTGTTTTTCTGCTTATACTGTTGATAAAGTCCCCATCCCTGATGCTCTCAACGCCTAGCGTGGAATTGGGCCCACCTGTATACCGTGCAGATAGCACAGACTCTATGCGAGGAACAAGAGAGCTTTGCAGCCCGTGAGAGGCCAAGCAATCAACCACATCAACTAAGTCGTGCAGAGGGTGCACAAGCGACAGAGGGTCCCCAGCTAGGCTTGCGCTCTCCCCCAGTTTTGCCGCTGCGGTGGCCGCTGAGCTTGCTGAAGTAGCTGCTGCAGTTTGCGTGACTGCGCACGATATATCCACTGGAGCTGTGGCCTCAAGGGTGCTCACGAGGGATCGTGTGAGAGATCCGTATTCCTCTGGAGTATCTGTGGACCTCCTCTCTACAAAAGTAGCAACGCTGCAGGTATAAGCGATGGCACGGACAGATAGCTACCCACGTCCGCAGTAGTTGCAAGAGCCGCAGCATTAGCAAAGAGGGCAGAAAAAAAGACACTGGAAGCAGAAAGTGGAGGGAAAAGCCAACAGCAACGGAGGAACGCAGCAACGTCGACGGCACGAGAAACGTCAGCAGCATAACGACCACGGCAGCAGCACGAGAGCCACCTATGAAATCGACACCAAGACCGGCAAGGGCATCATCAGCAGCAACAGCAGTTCCTAGTCCGTGTATTGTGCCTCGGCTTTCATTTGTACCAGCAGAGCTGCTGAGGATCTAAAGTAGGAATAATACGCGTCAAGAGCCGCGCGGCGCCTCTGGAAAGAAGGCATAGTTGAGGGTCACTCAAGGAAGGATTGAGGTGCTTCGTCAGCCGCAGCATCAGCCGTAGCTGGTAGTAATCCATTTGCTTCAACTGCACAAATGAACGAGAAATCCTTGACTCTTGATCACGCTTAATGGGAGGGAGCATATGCTGCAAGTATGGCCCGGTGTACCGGCACAGCTCAGAACTCTAGGGAGTCCTCGAGAAACATGCAGAGGCGGCAGCGGCATGAGACAGTGACTCACCAAATTAAGCAGGCGAGGAGCTGCTCGCAGGTAAAATTCCCTCCACTCTGTGCAGAATCGGTAAAGACCGGCGCAGGCCAGTAGCAAAGAAGGAGCAGACATAGAGTTCACGGCTTCGAGCGCCCTTTGAAAGCTCATATCTGCAGTGCCATCACACCCCAAAGGCTTAGGCCCTCACACACCCGACAGAGAAGCAGCTCAGCGGCAACTGCAGTGACGAAAAAACGTCCTGGGCAAGTTCAACAGCCACAACGAAAGAGATAGTAGCAAAGTACCTATCCAGCGTCTGCAGCGTAGGCCCATGCGTCCGCACTCAAAGAGATACAGCGCAAGAGAGTCAGCGTCAGCAGCAGCAATGTGGTCTGTAGACACCACCTGCAGCAGCTTTTCGCTAAACAGCTGACAGCGACCCAGCGCATGAAGACACCGTATGGTCGCCTCTGCTGCCACTCCCGCCTCTGCAATTCCTGCTATTCTTGGTGCTTGTGATGCAGGTGACGGTGCCTTTATTATGGCAGCAGCCGTTGCTTCTGCAGAGGCTGCCAGAGATGCCTCTGCTGCACACTGCTGCACCAGTCCATCTTTCTTTTGTTGCTCCTGCGGGTTTAGCTGGCCCTGGCGGCGTTCACGCGAGAGCCGAACGCGCTCTAAAACGCTGCAGCACATAAGTACAGAAAACGAAGTAGATGCTCAACGCTACCCAGGCATGTACATGGTGCAACAATGCAAGCGCCGAAAAAGTAACTACGACCGCAGCAGCAAGTGGAGCCAGCAACCTTACTGCTACTCCTCAATATCTGAAACGACGAATGACAAAAAACTGCGTGCCGCTCAATCAAACTTATTGAAAAACGCATAGCAGCAGCAGACGCAAAGACAACGGCAGCCGCAGAAAACATACAGAAGCAACGTGGGCACAATGTCTCGCACTGAGTGCTTCATCTGCATTTCTGCGAGTAGTGCTACCGCCTCTGCTGCGCTGCAGAGAAGCCCCAGCACCGCTGCATCCACATCCTGCTGCGATAAACAGTGCACAGCGTCTGGCGTTCCTGTTAAAGCAGAAGAGTCTTCCTTGAGGTCCCCAGTTAGCGACCCCCTTGCTTGCTGCAAGGCCTCCGCAGCGTGGCGCAAGCGCCGCAAATCCTTGGCAACCTGTAGCTGCCAAAAAGCAGCAACTTCTGCAGCTGCAGCTTCAGTGCTGCTGCTACTGGTGAAAAGGGACGCTGCCCCTCCTGCTTCTTCTACATAAGGCACAGGCGCTGTTGCTGCTTCCTGGGCTCCTTCGGGAGTGGGTGGCCGACTTAATCCTCGTGTTGCCTTTGCTGCGTGCACTGCCTGAAGCAATAGTATGTAAAACGGAGACCCCAGGTACTTCCACGCCCGCTGCTGCTGCTGAAGCTGCACCGGGGCAGTGCGGGCAGCAGCCGCAGCATCATTAACCGTGCCTGCTGCTGCTGCTACTGCTGCTGGCGTTGCGGGTGTAGCTGGCTTAAGTAGCCTGCCGTATGCTGGGTCTGTGACGTCGTAGTTGTAAGTAAAGGGCTGAAGTGTCGCCTCTGCTCGTTCTACCGCCGCAGAAAAAGAAGAAAGGGCCCCTCGTAGTGCAGTAACCCCCCGGAACTGCTGCGTGCCCCCTTCCGTTGCTCCTACTAGCTGCGCGAGAAAAGTTGAGGCATTCAGGACAGCAGTAGCGACCCCGGAAGGGCCCTCTTCCCCCCCTTCTAGTCTTGCAGATGTAGGATAGGTCGCTTCAGCTGATGAGTGAGCTGAAGCAGCATCAGCAGTAGCAGCGGTAGCGCATCTTCTGATCTTTGGGAAAACCCCGATCTCAAAGGTACCTGGAGGTCTTGGGGCTTTTTGGACTCCCCTTTGAGCTGAAAATGAGAGGGCATTAAAATGGAATCCCCCTGAATACTTGTGGCTCTTCCATTGGCGAGAAAGGCTCATATGAGGCCCGACAAGGAATCGGGACCCTTTCGGAAGTAGCCGGGGGTCCCCTAGGGGACCCCGAGGTATAGGTGGCATTCAAATTGCACTAAGTATGCAACAAATAGGCAGTTGAAAGGGCTACATAATAACAGTGGCAGCGAATCGAACAGAGGGATCGCAGGGGGCCCCACAGATTGTGTGAGGTCCCTCTTGGGGGCCCCCAGTGTTTTGTGCTGTTTGCGTGGAGCTTTGTGATGTACGCGCTGCTCAGAAACGCCACAGAAAGACCCATGTCCTAATCACGGGCTAGAAAATAGATACCAAAAGTAGCAAGACATGGGAAGAGGGGCTCCACTTGGCTCCAGATCCCCTGGTGCTATGCTCTAGGTGACCCAGTCATGGCATTTGGGTCCCTTGCCCACTTTTTTCTTCCTTCTTTTTCCTCATGCCCCCAAATTTTATTCTAACTGTTTTGATTACGTAGTGTTCCCAACATGGAGAGCGAAGGGCCCATTGAAGACACAGCTTTCTTGTTTCAGGGACTCTCGCTGCTGCTCGTGGTATTGGGGCTGTTGCCAACAGTGAAGCTCCCATAACTGTAACAGCCGCAACTTAATCAGTACAAAAGCTAGGAGCCAGCCTTAGGTCGGGTTTGAGCCCACTAACGCTGCGTAGGCACGGCAGCCCGACACCAACAGCAGCAACGAGACGAGCCTGGAAGAGGTGTCCTCGGGGGCCAAGGGTAGGCTGTTGGTCGGGGAGGATATAAGCACATGTTGAAAAAAAATGTGCGAACGAGTCATCACAATTTCGAGTCACAGCAGGTAGCTGGAGCTCGCCACACTGGCTGCCTGCATTTCCCAAGAGTGTTGTTCAGTGTTGCTCTTGCGTGCTACGATGACGATGAAAGATATGACTCGGATTCGTACAGTAAGGCTTTACGTTGCCTTCGGCGTCGCTTGATAAAGCACGGGTAGGATTAATTCGAGTTTTTGGAGGGAAAATGCACCGGCCGTACTTAGAGCCCAACGGTGTCCCACAATGGGGAAACAGAAAGAGGGCTGGCAGCTTGATATGAACCAAGAACTCCTTGGATACTAATCAAGTAACTCATCCCAGAAGCAGAAATTGAGGCAGTCGCCTGGTCTGCCATTTGCTGCAGTGGCTTTGTCTTGCCAGAACGTGACCTCGCTGGAGAGGAGCTGCACACACTATGTAAGCTGTTAACACGAAAATATCAAAGAAAGGGGCGTAGGAAGACGGACGCAGCGCCCAGTGCCCCATAAATGCAAATATACTATACTTCGAGCGGCTGCAGTGGCAAGCCACAATGCCACAGTGCGGGCTGTGTGCTGCTGAATGTACTTGTCCGTATGCTCGAGTGTATTGCAAGGAAAAACATAATAACTAGTTGCATGAGCACAACCAGTGTTTGTGGACAAGGTGCCCCTTGCATTGTGGCCCTCCGAAACTGGCCGGAGCTCTTGCACGTGCGCTGTGTGACTGCCGCAGCTCCCGTGACTGCGTGCGGAAGTAAATTACTGTGCGGACTCAACTTACAAAAAAAATCACCAAATATGCAAAAAGCACAGCAACAACGAATCCGCTGAACCCGAATAGGTGTATGCAAAAGATAAAGATTCAGAGCCGCTGCTGCTGCCACTTTCGAAACTAATCCTATTGTTTTTGTTCCTGCTACTGAAAATTCCCGCATTTCGGCAAACTTAACAAAGCAAAGAGAAGCAAAACATGCTTCTCTCTTACTGCTTTTCCATAACGAAAACTCATTGGATCGCTTCAGCAGAAACTGCTGCGCGGAGACATACGAAGAATCAGAGCCAAGAGACGCAAGTAACAGCAAAAGCCCGCAGATAGAAACAGAACCGAAGGAAAACAAAATAGACACAGAATAGACATTTGCGGCGTATCCAACTACGAGAAACAGCGAAGCTCCGGTAGCCCTGGACGGGGGGCAGCATTTGCCTTAAAACCCGACGCCTCTTGCTGCGACTCAGTGTCTTTGCTGATGCTGCTGCCATCATTGCTGCTGCTGCTCCTGCTCATTTTGGCGAGCGTTTTGGGACCGCAAACTGCGGCATCTTGAGAAGGTGCACTATAGAACGTACTGCCAGCAACAAGAGGAACGGCACCGGGGGCCCCAAGGGCCCATGCTCGCGCAGCAGCAGCAGCTGCCGCTGCTGCCCCACTGTTCCCCAGTAAATCCTCTTCAGGCAAAACAACTAGAAACGGCAAGCACGCCGGCAGTTGGTTTTGCTGTTGTCTGACACAGCTTGTGCTGCTGCCGGAGCTCCCTGGTGTTACTGCCGCTGCAAACGGATTTGGGGCAGCAAGCCATGTCGCGACTCTCTTGCTGCTGCTGTTGCTTGTGTATCCTGGAGCACTCACAAGCTCTCGGACTGCAGCCGCCGCACACTGAATTGCAGTGTCCGCAGCAGCAGCGGCCGCAGCGGCACCAGATAGGGGTGGGCCAAAATGTTTCTGCTCCATGCATGCAACCACAGCAGATGCTTCCATGAGCTGCTGTAGCGGCTCTGGAGATGAATCCGCAGCAGAAAAGAAACGGCGCTGCGATGCAGCAAAGAGCAACAGATCGTATAATCTCACGGAAGGGTGAGAAGCCAGCACAAAAGAACGCCACGCAGACAAAGATACCCAATGGGATCTCACGGGGCAGTTGCAGCTGCAGCCAACGGCTGCAATACGCAGCACGTCTGTAGAGGTAGTGCTGCTGCTGCAGTGCTGCAAAGGAGGAGGGTCTGAGGCGGCTGCAGCCCAAGCGGCTGCTGCTGCTGCTGCTGATGAATATGCATCATGTGCACCCATTCCACCGTCTAGCCGCAGTGTTGCTGCTTCTGTTGCTGCTTTCGAGCTTCTAAATACAGACAGCAGCTGCAGCGCTGCCACCGCTTCGTTCGTAGCAGCCTTTAAGATGGAAGCCGAGACGGAAGGGTCGCCAGCTGTTGCTACAGGCTCTGTCACCCCTGCTATATCTGCTCCTCCTCCATTTAGTGCTGGTGCTGTTGCTGCTGTCGCTGCTGTCGGTGCTTGGGGCATACAGTCGAAAGCGTGCTTATAGCTGCTACAGAGGCAACCAGCAGCTGCTGGGAGCAGGGCTCCCTCGCTTTGCAACTGCTGCTGCAGCCAGACCAACGCAGCCGCAAGAGAAGAGAATCTCAGCCGGGGTTGCTGTTTTTGTTGCTGCCGCTTGTTGGCCCTCCTACGTTGCACCTTCAACGCGTGCGGTAGCGATTCAAGGGTTACCTGCTGCTCACAGAAGCTTGCTACTTCTTCCAGCAGTAATACTGCAGTGTAAACAGCGATACGTGGCCGCTGCTGCTGCTGGTGCAGCTGCTCCTTGTGCACCTGCTGCTGGCGCTTCTTCGGCACATTTCGTTTTTTTTGCTTTTCCTGTTCCTGCTGCTGCTTTGCCTCCATATTTTTCTCTTGCTGCATGTGATTACGGTGCTGCTGCTGCTGTTCCTGCTTGTACTGTTGCTCTCTTTCCATTTTCAGCTGCTGCTGTTGAAGTGGCTGTTCCTGGTTCTCCTGCTGCTCTCGCTGCTCCATGGTATGATTCTTTCGTCCTCTGGTGGAAAAGTCCTCCTGCATGCATTCTCGCTGCTGCTCATGCTTGTGCGCCTCCTCTTCTGGGTGCCTCTGCTGCAGTTGCTCTTGCCGATGCTGCTGCTCTTCCTCTTGCTGCTCCCTCTGCAGTTCGTTCCGCAGCTCCGGCACAGTCGGTTGAAGCTGAGACTGCTTTCGCGGTTTCTTGTTAGCAACAGCACTACAGGCCCTCGCTGGTGCGTAGGGCACCGCGTAGGGCAGCAGCAGCCGCAGCGGCAGCTGCAGCGGTAGCGAAGGCAACGACCGCTTCTGGTGCTGCTGCAGTAGGTCTCCCACTGGGTCGTCTGTGCAAATACATCGAGCGGCACCAGGTGAAGCATCAGCTTCTATGTCTGCCCCTAATGCTCCACAAGGCCCAACTGCAGGTTTTGAGGCTGCAGCAGGTGAGCTTGCTGCTGCTTCTACAGCCCTGAGCGCCGGCGTTTCTTCAGGTTCTGGAGGCGCTTTTGCTTGGAGAGCCACAACTAGACATGTGCTGGCGCGCGTTGGGCCCGTGAGAGGCATTCCAGCTCCGCTATCCGTTTTAACTCCTGTTCCTGCTGCCATTGTGTTTTCTGCTATTGCATTTTCTGCTGCTGCGGCTGCTTCCGCTGCATCCCTGCGCAAGTCTTCTTTCTTGGATGCGTCTGAGCACTTTTCTGTACCGATAAGATTCTTCATCCCTAGAAAGGGCCAAATACGTGATTGTGCCTTTGCAGGTACTCCTGATGCAGTTGCTTCTGCTGTGGCTGCCGCCTCCGATGCAGCTCTAAGTGCTGGTGCTACTGCTGCTGCTGCTGCTGTAGCCGCTACTGCTGTGGTGGTACTTTTCGTTGCTGCTGCTGTTGCTACAGCTGCCGCTGTCGTGGCTGCCGCTGCGATTCTGGTGCTGCTTCTGCACTTGATAAACCCCTCTTTAGAACACTGGTTTGTTGTCAAAGACGAGCGCATTCACGGGATGCTCACCATCCCTCGTTTCTGCAGACATACGACCGTTGACCACTAATACACCTGTTGCAATTGCAGCAACAGCTGCTGCTGCTAAGCTGGTCTCGAAGCAGGAGCAAGAAACCTAAATTGAACTTCGACTCGGCTAGCCCTTAATTTCAGTGCAGTTGGCGCGGTTGCCGCTACTTAGACAAGCTCCATGTAACGGGCAGGGGCCCTTCTGTGGCCCTTCTCATGACTCGAAGCTTGCTGCAGCACCTGCCGCCACTGCTGCTGCTGCTATTGTGGCTTCCACACCAACGTAGAAAATGCGAGGTAGTATTCCAAAGATTTGGCGGAGCGTAGTACTTGCTAGCCTGTAGTTGATGCTACACCCAGTACTGGGAGGCGGTTCTCGTTCGCCCCCCATTGGGGGCCAGCCGCCGCAGTAGCTGCAGCAGCCGGTGCATTTGCATTCGCGTTGCAGCAGCAACGAAAGTTCATCCCAATTTTCAATTTATTTTGAAGCTGCTTCTCCAATGTTCAGGCGTTAGCCCTAGGTACAGAGGCAGAAGAGCAGGCAGGTGCAGTGGAGACAGCCGGCTTCTGCGACTTGTGCTGCTGAAGCTTCTGCACGCGGAAGCATCTGCAAAAAGCCATGAAATGGGCGTCTCGTGCTGATGCCTCGACACGAGGAAGGATGTCGCGGCGTATACCATGCAGGAACAATAGAGACAGCACCACCAGCAGCAGTAGCAGCGCCCACAACGCCACTGCGGCTACACCGTTGTGAAGGGATAAAGCTGTCTTGGCTGCTGCTTCTGCTGCTGCAGCATCTTTGCACTCATGAGGTCATCTGCAGCGTCATCTCCCCTACGCGTGGACGCAGCAGTAGCGGCAGTAGCAAGGCAATCGCTTCCCCTCTTCTTGGGCTTACCTCCAGGGGTACTTCCCCATGCGGGTTGCAGCCTAGCCCCCATACTGAGCAGCAGCAGCAGCTGCAGGCTCTGCTGCACTGCAGCAGGCGCGGCGCTGCCCCTAGTTTTTCTTTTTTGAGGCCTCGACCGAACAACAACGGTGTTGTTTTGTCGAATTACGACTCAGCAGCAGCTGCAGCGGCATCAGCAGAAGCAGCAGCTACAGCAGCTACAACAGTTCGTCTCTTGGGAACATCACCGCAACAGCCGCATCGTCAGATCATGCAGGCGCCACGGCCAACCCCACATAAAACAGCAGCAGCAGGAGCAGGAGGAAACGGTCTCTGCCCAGCAGCAGCAGCAACGGCAGAAGCAGCAGATGTCCCAGTGTCTGCAGCAAAGGTTCGCAATGTGTGGAGGTCATCTTTGAATGTCACGGAGCTATCATTTTTCTCTCTAGACTCAACGCAAAAGTGGGCGGAGCGTCATCTAGACGAGTTGGTGTGCGCACATCTCCTGCAGCATCTGCAGCAGCAAAAGCAGCAGCAGAAGCAAGCGCTAGCTACTGGGGGTCACTGTCTATGTGTCACTGCAGCAAAGCAAACTGCAGGAGTAGGGACTCGTCGAGGAGACACGGGGGAGGAACGGCGCTGGGTGTCTGCTGCTGGCAACTTGCATGCAACTTATCTGCTGCCGTGGAAACAGCAGCAGCAGCAGCTGCTGCTGCACTTGCCCTTCGTTGCAGCTCTGTCTGTACAGCGCGTGCTACAACAACTGGGCGTGAAGGGCTCTAAAATTAAGTGGGTCAATGATGTCCTCGTAAACAATAAGAAGATTGCTGGAGTTCTCTGCCAAAGCACGAACCGCACAGTTGCTGCTGCTGCTGCTGCTGCTGCTGGGAACACTACTAGTGAAGAACCTACAGCAAAAACGCCACAGCTGCAGGCGGTGGAAGACATGGTTGTTTTGCTTTTGGGCATCGGCATAAACCTCGCCGCTCACCCCAAGGAGCACTTCGAGGACTGTTGCTACCAGGGCAGCACAGACGTGAAAGAGGCCTTGCAGCAGCAGCAACAACACCAAAAGCGCCGGCAGCAGGTGCTGCTGGAGCATTACACTGATTTAGTTATTTGGCCGCCTCAGTCCTCTCTCCTTTTAGCTTCCAATAGCAGCAATAGCAAGGCTGAAGAGAGCAGTGATGGTAGCATTGACGTGTCTGTTGAGAAAGTGCTGGACTTGCTGCACGAAGAAGTGGGCGAGGTGCTGCTGCTGCTGCAGCAGCAGGGCTCCGCTCCGCTGCTTGCTTCTGTGGATGAGCACTTGGCGTACAAAGGCGACCGTGTGTCGGTGATCCTAGAGAAGCAAGAGCAGCAAGAACTTATGCTGCCGCAAAGACACAAGCAGCAGCAGCAGCAGGGGAAGTACAGCGGCATATTGGAAGGCCTCGACTGTGATGGCTCTTTGCTGCTGCGGCTGCCTGACGGTTCCCTGCGGAGCTTCTCCTCTGGGAGACTCTTAAGGGGGAGCCCTCAGTAATAAGCTAGTTTGACTTAGACAATTGTACTGTCATTTATAGTACTTGGAGGCTTCGCAGCACTGTACGAAAGCCGGCGGAAACGGAACGCCAGCAACAGTCATGAAAAAAGAAATGCATTGCTCCAGACAGAAAGGACCATACAAACAGTATGAAGTGCAGGTGAAAAGAGTCAGGAAGAGACCTCGAAGAACAGTGGCGGACACATGAAGAAGGCAGCAGGGGTAGTCGTTAAATACGTGGGGTTCGGTAGTTGCTTCTAGCTGTCTAACTGCGAAAAGGCTTTGTGCCACCGCTTCCCATGCATCTGCTTATAATAGGGGCTGTGCAGTTGAAGTTTTGAGATCTTATAGAGGTCCAGTGGGGATAAGGTAGCGGGAAGACACATGAGGAACACTGGATATAAAATTAGCCAAACGGGCGGAAGGGACTATGGCCCATAAGCGCGGCAAAAACTCCTTAAATGCCTTCTATATGCTCAGCGTACTCCAGAGGGCCCAAATCTTGGGTGCACGGAGACACGGTTAGTATGCTCGGGCTGTGCACTACGCCGTACGGCGAATTGAATACAGCCATGATGGCATCACAGGAAAAAGTTTACTGCATAGGGCAGGTCTTGCCTCTAGTACCAAGCTCCGTCTCTTGAGGTTCCGAATTTTGGTGGCTGCTGCCACAGCAGCACCAGTAGTAGCAGTAACGAAGCAGAACCCTTGCTGCGGCAGGCTGCGGTTGCTATTTAGTATTGCTGGCATTGTTTCAACGCTCTTCTTTAACCCCTTGAACGTGATCTTTCTACCTTTCTCTATTCAGCAAGCTCAACGGATAAAGAATATGAAGGTCACTTGTTTTGCGCGGGGTCTCGGCGGCTTTGATGCAGGGAAATCATCGCCAAATCCTGCCTCTACGCATCTCGTTTATTCAATATCAGGTAAAAAGCCGAAGTCAATTCCAAGAATTGACATCTTTCAATGGCGTCTGGGGAGGCACATGGGGCCCCACACAAAAGCCCTATTCCCTGTCTCCCTTGAAGAGCCTAGCAGATCAGGAAGCCAGCATGAAGCTCTTTTGTATTGAAAGGTCTGTACCTGTGTGATTTAATGTGACATGTAGAAACTTGTACGGCAGGTTCCCTTACTCAAGCAGAGACGGGCTCGCATGTTCCAGTTGCCGCTAGTGCTGCCCCTTCAGCTCATGCAGAGCAAAAGCTGCGGCAGGCATTGAAAATATTGCAGCATCACACAAGCAATCACAGAAGAATTACATTGAAGGTAGCTGCAACGGGAGCAAGAGCGACAGCAGTGTCAGCGAGAGCGGCAGTTGTTGCCGCAGCAGTGGCCTTATCGGCAGCGTAAGATCAGTACCCGCCGCACATGCGAACCTCAAGGCACAAGCTGCATCTCATTCTTCAGCTGGCGAAGCATCAGAAACGCAAGCTCCAGAGCAAGAGCAGCAACGGCGGCGAAAAAGGCAGCAACAGCAAATGCGCAGCACCAGGGACTTCACACTTGCCGATAGTGGCCTTAAGTGGCAACGGCGGTGACTGCTTCTTAGAGAGGAGCTACAGCGTCAGCAGCAGTAATAAACATTCAAATCCCTGCAGCAAACAGGACAGCATCCGGCCGCTACGCCACACTCTCGTCGCCCCACGTGAGCAGCAGCAACAACATCTGCTACAGCTATCCACAAAGAGGAAGAAACTCCTGCACCGGAAGTGGCTAAAGGAGAGGCATTTCGTGCTTGGTCGCTGCGGCCACCACCGTCTGCTGCAGGCAAGGCGCCTCGCGAGTTTACAACTTCTTCGGTGCAGCAACGAGCAGCAGCAGCGCAGTAGCAACAGCAGAAAACACGGGAGCAGCAGCTATACAAATGAGACATGCAGGGAAAACAATGGCAATGAAAAAATTAAACGGAGGAGGCACAGCAGCAGCAACTTCGCCAACAGCTGCAGCCAATGCAACTTCAGCAACGGCGTGAGCAGCAACAGCGGCAGCGCCACCACGAACAGCAGCACGGCCAGCGTTGAGAAAGCCAACTCAAGCCCTGTGCTAGAACCTGCTCCTAAGTGTGCATTTACAAATATTGAGTTTGAAGAGGGAGCCTCTCAAGCTTTGCAGCGCCTGCCAGATCAAGAGAAGTACCAGGAGCTTGTGCAGCAGCATCAGGTGAATCAGCGCAGCGTGCAGCAGCAGCAGGAATGGCACATGCAGGAACAACAATGCCGGCAGCAGCAAGAGCGCGAGGAAATCTGCGAGGTGAAGCCTTTCATAGAAGGCGTTTTGGGCGGCTTCAGCCGTTCAAGTACAAGTGGTTCTAGGCAGCATCAGCAGGAACAAGAGCAGCAGGATCAGCAACAGAAAAAGCAAGTTGAGCAGCTGCTGAATCCTTTAATAGACCCATTGGAGGCAAGTGGCAGCAGCGCAGGTGACAGCAGCAGCACAGGAGAGTTTCACAACTACCAGCAAGACCAGCAGTTACTGCTGCAGCAAACGCCCGTTTGTTTGCAGCCGCGCCACACAGGAAAGTCCTCCGTACGTCGCTCTCAGCAGCAGCAGCAGCAGCAAGGGTTCGAGCTGGCGGCAGATCCTGAAGAGATCCGCCGCCGTCAGCAGCGGCTACAGCGAGATTGGGGGAAGGAGCCTATCTTCTGTAGGATTCCGAGTCAGAGCAAACACGCACCGACTTTGCGCGAGCTAAAGGACAGGCTGGAAAGACTCGTGCAGCAGCAACGACAGCAAAACGAGCTGCAGCGACAGGTGCAGTGCCACCAGGGAGAGAAGCAACAGCAGCAGAACGCACAAGAAGGAAGCGAGGTGAATGATAACGATCCACAATTGTGCTCGGCTCAGGTGTTGCAGCAGCAAGCGGGCTGCTGCTGCTTTGGTGGCAACGAACACGGGAGCAGTCAACTGTTGGCAGGCCAGTTGCTGCTGCGACAGCGTAGGCAGCAGCAGGAAGCGTGGCGGATACTATGGCGCGACTTTGCGCAAGAGGAATTTCGAGCGCTGCGGCAGCATTGCATTGCGCAGCGGCGAAGCGTCTTGAAAGCGGCATTAACAGTGCCGGCAGCAACGGCAGGGGCAGCAGAGTCAGCAGCGGGAGGTGATTGTCCCACCGAAGCATCTCCTATAGCTCTAGAGGCTGAAGGAGCAGCAGACGCTATAGCACCAACAGCTGCAGCAGCAGCAAGCACACCGGCGGGAGGAGTAGACAGCGCGGCAGCATTGACATCACGTGCGGCCCCAGCTGAAGGAGATGCTGCTGCAACTGGAGCCGAAGCTGTTGTTGATTCAAGCAAATGCCAGCAATTGGATGTGGATGGATTCCTGCTGCAGCTGCTGCTGCAGAATCTTGCAGCAGCCGCTGCCGCAGCTGATGCGGCAGAATCTGCTGTCTGCTGCGCAGCACTGGAAAGATTGCTGCTGCGGAAGTGCGTTGCACGAGCAGCGAGTGGGGCGTCAGCAGCTGCTGCTTCGACAGGCTTCCATGCGCTCCTGCAGCAAGGCCTTGCCTTTCGGCTGCTTCTCACTACAGCAGCTGGAGCTGCTGCGCTCAGCACTGCCAACAGCAGCATGGGATCCAGCCTCACACTGGTTACTCGCATAGAAAACGAGCAGCAGCAGCAGCCACAGCCGCATCAGTGCCAACAGCAGCAGCAAAGCGTGGCGAGTTGGGCTCGACGCCTAGCCGCAAGCCTGCGGCTGCGGAATTTCAACCGAGCTTTCAAGTTGCTCCAGTTGCTGCAGCAGCAGGCATCCCGGGAGCATTGTTCCGTAACCAGCTGCAAAGGGAACACGCGCCACACATGCTGCAGCAGCTCGGAAGGCCTCGAAACCCCTATGGGCTCTTGTTCCATGCAAGGGCAGCAGCAAGCAGAGGAACAGCACATGCAGCAGCAGAAGCATTGTGGGCCACAGCAGCCGCAACAACACGGTGCACAGCAGCAGCAGCACGAAAGCATACTTATTGACTTGTTTTTGGCATTGCTGCCGCTTCTACGCTCGGCTTTTGTTGAGCTGCTGCTGCAAGCAGGACCTCAGAAGCACCGTGAAGCAGCAGCGGCAGCAGCAGCAGCTGTTGCTGCTGCCGGGAATATATCCACTGCAGCTCAAGGCATCAGCCCTCACATGGTCAATCCTTTGCATAGTGAACTGCTGCTGAAGCAGCATCAGCAGCAGCTGCTGCTGCTGCAGCAGGAGCGCTCTAAGGCTGACGCTGTCCTGAAAAGCCTCCCCTTAAGTGTGCGGCGGCAACTGCTGTTGCTTTAGAACTTGCTACAATTGTTTTGGTTTTAGTAAGATCTGTCACTGCTGATTTTGGTTGGATGTGTCACTGCAGTAGCCGCAATTGCTGCATCCACTACAGTTGCATTGAGCTCCTTTGTGGATTTTGGAGACAGAGGCATTTACCTAGACGTAAGAAGCAACTCTTCATGAAGCTTTTTTTCAACTTTCAGCATAACCGGCTGCACTGGTTGATCTCTGCTGAGTGTCGGAGCTCTTTGAAACGCTGAGGGCGACCAAAACTTGCAACGTCTCGAGGAAGGGAAGCAAGTACCCGAGGTCTGGCAGGCTGATTTGTGACGCGTGAGGGTAGTGATCTTGGAGCAACGATTGCGTGTATATAAAGGCTATGCGGCATTTAATCCACCTGCATATGACATGGGAAGAGCCAGTATAGCTATGAAAATCTATGTTTTTTGAACAGCACGCTCCTAGCAGATATGGGACGGATCCAGAACGTGGAGGTGTCCGCCTTGGAGCTGCAGACTTGAAGGGCGTTACCATCCTGGTGGGTGCGAACATAAGCTTAGCCAATGTCTGTACCTCAAAATACGCATTTAGCTCAGTAGCTGAGCACTGCTAGCGATCAAGCAAGGCGACCCATTTTGCGTTTCTGCCGCGCAGCGAGCGTCTATGATTACGTACCATCTCATGCGTCGATTGATGCTTCTCAAGTTGAAGTGCCAACCGACACCAAGAAAAGTGCCTAGAGAGCGCTTAACAGTGACCCTATGGCTGGGCTGCACGTCCAAATGCTGACATATGAAAGACGTCGAAGAGCTGAATTGCGAAAGGCGATTCACAACCCCTGCGACGGAACAGTTCTTCGTGGCAGCATGTACCCACACAGTGCAGGAACTTACGCAGGAACTTATGGTTGCCCCGCTAGGCAGCGAGCCCTTGGGGCCCCCTGCCCGCAGGCCAGCACACAGAGGCTTTTGACATCTCCCTTGATCGTGGCCGCTCTCCTACCAGCAGACGTGCCCGAAAGGAACTACTACTGCAAGGCCACCTGTGACTGCAAACAGAGCTCCTGGACAGCGAAATGAAGCAACTTATAGTGGCTCTGTGCTGATTTAATAAGTGTGAAGATGCAGTCACAAGGAACCTAAAGAGCAGCCTAGTGTAGCTCATCGCGCCATTACAGTACGATTGGCGCGGATAGGCGAGCTGCTGTGAGGTGCGCAGCTTAGGCGAGCGCACTCTCCCAGTGACAATGGCCATGTGTATTTGCAAAAATTGTAATAATAATTAACTTAATGTCAAAATCTGGTCCAAGATGGTGAAAGGGCTGAGTGCGGGGTCACCGCGAATGCCCACGAATGGAGCCCGCTGCTGAACCTGTCTTTGTACCCGCGTGGGACAGTTTGCAGACCTCCCACGGGCTTGCGTTCAAGAATTCCTATCTCAGGTGCTTTTGACGATCTATAGACAGCCCTGCTTCTGTGTCCACTCAACCTTAAAAGCCGTGCTTCTGGAGCTGCTGCAGTTGCTGCTCTGAAGCTGCTGCGGAGAATGAAAAAAAACGGCAAGACGGGCATCAGTACAGCGGGCTATGGTGGCAATAAAAACGTGCAATGTCGACAGTGGCACTGGCAGCCACAGCACTCGCGGCATCAGCAGCATGAACACCGGCACGAACAGCACATGGCTCCTGCGAGCCTCAAGGCTGAAGCTGTACATCTTGCAAACAGCAGGCGGGGCAGCTGGGCTGCAAATTCTGGGGCAGACGTAGAGGCATCTGGCGCAGATATGCAGCACCGGCGACTCCACATGCCCTGATTGCAGCGTGCCCAGGGAAGCAACAACTCCGGTTGCAAGGGAAGCTGCAACATCGACAGCAGAAAGTACTCGAACAACGAAGCAGTAATGATGCCGGCCATTTATTTGAGTGTTAGCTCGTTGCGCTACCTGAACAACAGCAGCGCCAACGATAGCCAACCCCAAAAGACCAATACTGCCATCAGTACCAGCGGAGGCAATGGCCCGTTTGATGCCTCGCCTGGTCGCCCGCTGCAGGCGAAGCACCTCGCGGATGTGCAGCCTCCTCGCTGCACAGAGAACGGTATCAGCAGAGCATAGCAGCGTAGGAGCAGCACCAATCGGAAAAGCCACAACTACTCCACCATCAATTGCAGTAGCTGTCGCAGGGGGGCCGAGGTATGCCCCGTATTCTACTAGACCTTGACATGTGCCTGGCCAGAGGAGGCTTCTGCTGCTTTTGGTGATACTTCTGGTTGATTCTGATGGCGCTAAAAATGCCGCTTTTGCATCTGGTGATTTTCGACCACTGCTGCTTTAGCAGCGATCCTGGTTTAGCTGATGCTTGTGCCGATGCCGCGTGTAGTTATGCTAGTGCCAATGCCGTTTCTTCTGGCTCATTTGGCTTTGGCGTTGCTGCTTCCAATGCTTTTGTTGCGTTGCTGCAAGCGTTGCAGGCGCTGAAGCTTTGGTCTGTGCAGCTGACGCTGTCACGTATTGAGCTTCCCCCTTAGCTTGCGATAGTTAAGAGCGCCTGCGTCTGGGTCACATGTTATTCATTCTTCCTCTCTGATTTCCTCTGCAGGGGCTTGTCGAGCGGCGCCGGCTGCTGCCGCCCCTTGGCCTAGCTGTTCCACAGATTCTGGCTGTTGCATTGGCAAGCCCATTTGAGGACGCTCTGGCGATCCCTGTTGCTCCGCAGTCAGCTCTGCAACCGCTGGCTGCTCTTGGCCTGTTGAAGTGTACCCCCTTACCATGAAGTGCGGGACCTGCAACTCCTCCGCTGCTGCTCCACCTCCAGTGCCCTCGGCTGCTGTTTTTCCCAGATCTTCTGAAGCCAGGGGCTGCTCCAGTGACTTTTCTGATGCCTCTTGTGCATCAGATGCTGGAACCCTTTCTGCAGGCGTCTGCGGCTTTGCTTGTTTGAGTGCGTACTGCTCCTCCTCCTCCTGCTGAGCTTCCAGTTTCTGTCCCGCTTCGTCAGGTGTTTCTGCTGATGCAGCTGCATTCTCGTCGGTCTCTCGTCTGTCACCCGGAAGCGTCATTGCTCCCTCGGATGCACTCACTCTTGCCGCTACTTTACCTGCGTCTGGTGCTGCTGCTCCTGGAGTTGTGAGGCCCTTTGCTGTTTCCCCTGCCGCTGATGCTGCTTCTGCAGGCGCTTCAGCTGACCCTGGTTCTTGCTCAGTGTGAAGGCGCACTTGCTCTTCTTGTGGAGGAGTGGGTTCTTGAGTTGGCTCTGACTCTGGCTCTGCTGTTGCCGCCACTGGTGGCGTTACATGGTCTGCAAGGTATACACTGTCTTGCTCTGCTGGTGGCGTTACATCGTCTGCAGGGTGCGCATTGTCTTGCTCTGCTTCCTCCTCAGAATCGTGAGAAGCCTCCGCAAATGCATTTGCTGCTATTCCTTCGTTTCTCCACATGGAGCCGCTTGGCAGGGGTATTCGTGCACTCCCTTCAGTTGCTACTTTTGCGCGTGCTGCTGCTGCTGCTGCTGCTGCTGCTCCTGCTGCGTCTCTTGCGTGTTCTGCTATTGCTTCTTCTGCATGGCCAGCCTCGTCGAGCTTCGGCATATGCACTACAGATTCCTCAGAAAACTCATCCTCTTCTTCCTCCTCCACCATTGGCCCTTGCGTGTGGTCCAGATCTGAGTTCGACAGCGCCCAAAGCGGCCCCAGTAGCACCGTTTCCAGAATGCTGTGAACCAGCTCAGCGCTTCGCATGAGCTCGCTGGCCACCACAGCAATGGCAGTCAGGTCGTAAGTTTTGGAAAGCATTGCTGCTGCATTTCGTTGCACGGCCTGCTGCTCCTTCAGCAAATCCGCCACATGGTGAACCCCTTCTGCTCCTACCATTTCTTGGGCCCTGGACTGCAGCCGATCGAGTGACACAACAGCCTGCTGCAGTATCGCCAGCAGCTGCAGCTCCTGCTGGATCATCGAAATGTTACTCAAGTTCTCGCTGAGCTTGTAAGATATGTCGTCTGCCTCTTCTGTACAATTGAGCACACTGTCTACTGTTTCCACTTTGTCTGCTTCTTCTCGTATGTTACGTAGCTTCTGCAGCAGAACTCTGGCATCGTGCTCAAGCGATTGCGCCTTCTTTTGGGCCGTCTTTAGCCTCTCTTGAGGCATCCAGTTAATGGCCTGTAGCGCAGTCGATTGAATATCAATCATCTCTGCTACTTTCTGTATGTGCTGCACCTGATGCTCGCCTCTTTTGCAGACGCTGTCCATAGTTCCCGCAGCAGCAGCAATTGCACTCTTAGAGCGCCCCTGCAGCGTGAGGATAGCAGCAGGCGACTGTTGCATCTCGTTCGTGAAATCCTCGAGCACTTTGCCTATGCGGCTCGCTGCTTTGTGTGCGGCGTGTCGAGCAGCTCCGATCTGCAACGGGTCCGTGGCCTCCTTCAGCATGATCACCTGCTGCTGCAGCACGCAGAATGCGCCGTTCAGGCCATGTAGCTGCCTCAACAGACTTTCCAGCAACCCCCGATCCCTCGCGGCTGACAGTCCCGAGGGTGATAGGGAGGCATTGATGGGGACGTCGTAGTCGTTCGGCGCTTTGGTGCCGCTTTGGAATGCTTCCCTCAGTGTTGTGAGCACCATCATTTCTGCGACATTTTTCTTGAGCATGAGCTCGGCTGCTTCTTGCTCCCACTCTATTGCTGTGCTCGTTTGGTAGACAGTAACTGCCAGCTGCTCCAGCATTTCAGTGGCAGCGTAGAGGTCAGACCTCGCCATCAGGGTATGGCGGATTGACTGCATTATGTTGCAGTTTTGCTGCATTGAGGCCCCGTCGATGCTCATCTGGAAGAGCGGCTGCTGCTGCAGTTGCTGCTGGCGTGTTGCTGCAACGTGGAGCAGCCGATGGGCAGTGCTGGCCGTGTGGAACACACAGGTGCGCCACGCGTCTATGAACTCTTGATTCGCAAATGGCTTCAAGTCCGAAAGGTAGCGCTGCTCTATGGTTGTCACGGGGTGCATATGGGGAGCCGCCTCCAC